ACAAGTTCTCCCTACAGCCCCAGCTGGCCTGGAATTCACTATGTAGACCAGGTTGGCCTTGAACTTCCAGAGATCAGTCTGCCTCTGCCAGACATTTTGTTTCTAGGAGACACTTGAAAAAGTGTTTTATGACCAAGGACCACATGTCTACCCTCAAATGCTTCTTCAGTAATAAAATAATAATAAGATATATGTTTAAAATGAGAACTTCACAGTAAATATAAAAATGTTAGCCATATATTTCCCTATAGAAAACTAACATCTAGGGGCTGGAGTGATGACTCAGCAGTTAAGAGTACTGACTGCTGTTGCAGAGGACCCGGGTTCGATTCCTAGCCACCCACATGGTGGCTACAAACTGTCCTTAACTCCAGTTTCAGGGGAATCTGAAGCCCTCGTCTGACCTCTGTGGCATTGCACAGCACGGGTGCATGGACATACATGCAGGCAATACACTCATACACATAAAATAAAAATAATAAAAATATTTTTAAGAAAAGAAAACTAACCTCTAAGGGCCATGTCTAATATGTGATCTATTTTTGCTCAGATTCCAAAGAATAATTTTCGGTTTTTTTGCGTGTGTTCGTTTGGTCTTTTTGAGACAGGGTCTTTCTCTGTAGCCCCAGCTGGCCTGGAACTTACTGTGTAGACCAGGCTTGCCTTGGACTCACAGAGATCCGTGTGCCTCTGCCTCCCATGTGCTGGGAGTAAAGGCTTGCACCACCACACCCAGCCTCTATCAATAGTTTTTGCGCCTTTTGTTTTGTTTAAGGCAGTCTCACTATGTAGCACTGGTTGACTTGAACTTTCTATATAGACCAAGCTGGCCTTTGAAGAACTTGCATCAATCCTCCTCTCTCTGTCCCATTTAATTGTGATTATAGGCATGAACTGTCATATGCGGCAGTTCTTATACTTTGTGGGGAGGGGCGGCAGCAAGGCAAGATGGGTAAGTGCACTTGCTGCCAAGTCTGACAACTTGAGTTTGATCCCAAAGACTCACATAGTAGAAAGAGATAACCAACTCCCACAAGTTGCCCTCTGACTCTACATGCACACTGTAGCATTCTTGCACATGTGTGCACACACAGGCACACACATGCATAGAATAAATAAATAAATTTAATAAAGGTTTTTTTTTTTTAATAATATTGGGTCTAAGTTGGGTGTGGTGGCTCATTCCTCTAATCCCAGCTCTTGGGAGGCAGAGGAAAGCAAATCTCTGTGAGTTCCAGGCCAGCCTGGTCTACATAGAGAGTTCCAAGCCAACTGGGGCTACAGAGAGACCCTGTCTTAAAAAGACCAATAATTAATAATAATAATAATAATAATAATAATAATAATGGGACTAGGGAGATGACCCAGTGGTTTAAGAGCACTTGTTGCTCTTGCAGAGGACTCGTGTTTAGTTCCCTGTACCTACATTAGGTGACTCAACTCCAGTAACTCCAGTCCCAGGGGATCCAGTGCCCTCTTCTGACTTCTATGGGTACCTGCATGCACATTATACACATACATGCACCATTGTGTACAGATACATAAAATAAAATGATTTTTTTTAAAGGAAGATACACAACAGATTGAATGTGGCCCACAAAGTCTAAAATATTTATTATCGTGTCCACTAGAGAAAAAGCTTTCTGAAGTCTGATCTAGAAGACATAGGATTCACTGTGTTACCAACTTAGTGTCTTACTAATATGATTTATACAGTAATATATAAAAAAGAATTTTTTTAGGCAGATGGAGAGATGGCTCAGTGGTTAAGAGCACTGGCTGCCCTTGCTGAAGACCTGGGTTGGTTCCCAGCACACGCATGTGCCTAACAACCATCCTTAACTCCAGTTCCAGAGGATCTTATGCCCTCTTCTGGCCTCTGCGGGTATTGCACAACATAGGCATATACACACAGGCAAAATTTATCTTCATGACTGGGAAATAAGCAGTATGTATATAAGGAAAGTTTGAGTATATCAAAGAATTAAAGTTTTAGCTATAATTCCATTTCTAGATTATCAGCTTGTACTTCATATAAAGTAAACTATGGGTATATGCACATTATTTTGTTTTTATATTTCTGTTTACTCTCACCCCTTAATAGGACTGAGAGTACAGTCCACTGTATAGTATGTAGAGGAAGGACATTCTCAGCATGCTTTTTATATTGTATGTGTGTTTGTGATGTTTGTGGCCATATATGCCACAGCCCACGTGTGGAGGTCAGCAGACAATTTGGGAAATCGGTTCTCTTTTTTTCCACCTTTATGTAGGTTCCAAGTATTGAACTTAGGTTACCAGATTTACATGGTAAGCACATCTCAGAGTCATGTCACTGTCCCCAACAAGTTTATATTTAATTTTAAAATTTTATTTTTTAAATTTATTTGTTTTTATTTTATGTGTAGGAGTGTTTGTCTACATGCATGTAAGTGTACCTGTGTTGTGCAGTGCCTGTGGAGGCCAGAAGAGGCACCAGATCCCCTGGAACTAGAGTTAAGGATGGTTGTTAGATAGCTACAATATGGGTGCTGGGAACAAAACCCAGGTCCTCTACAAGAGCAGGCAGTGCTCTTAACCACTGAGCCATCTCTCCAGCCCCTTCATTATTTATAGTATAAATGTATTTACTTATTTTTCGGGGGATAGGGTCTCACTGTGTAACTCTGGCTGGTGGACTATATAGACCATCCTGGCCTTGAATTCACAGAGATCTGCTTGTTTGCCTCTACCTCCCCTTGCTAAAATTAAAGGTGTATACCACCACACCCAGCCTACTTTCATTAAAAATAAAATTTTTTTTATTAGCATTGCTTTAAGAAGTATCATGAGCTAGGCATGGTGGTACATGCCTTTAATCCCAGCACTTGGGAGGCAGAGGCAGGCGGATCTCTGAGGCCAGCCTGGTTTGCATAGTGAGTTCCAGGCCAGCTAGGACTACAGGGAGACCCTGTCTCAAAAAGACCTACACACAAACTAAAAAGAAGTAACATGATTACATTGAAAGACTTTGTAAAGGTAGAGAATTTGGAAAGGGAGTGAGTGGCAAACACATTTAGGAACAGTGAGATATTTTGTGCTATTGTTGAAGCTGTTAGAGTTTTGTCAGTAAACAGTGCTCAGAAATTACAGTAGGCATATCACAGAATTTTGAATTTATATTCTAACATCTAATTCCATACTATCAGTTTAGTTATTATAGTACTTTCTATTTCTTTCTTTTTTTTTTTTTTAACTTCCCAGACTGATTTTTTGAAATGTTTTCCACATCTCAGCCTTGGAATCATCGAAGAAAACAGGCCATACATTAACACGGCCACTCCAACATAACTGTTTCAGCTACTGCACTCGTTGTTCGCCCCACACTCCAGCAGCTCTGAAATTAGGATGCATCTTAAAAACTCTAGTTATTATAGTACTTTCTATTTCTTTCTTTTTTTTTTTTTTTAACTTCCCAGACTGATTTTTATTTCTAGAAGTTCACTTAGGGCATAGATGAAGGCATAGAAGTTCTATAGAAAAGTAATAGAAAAATAATGGAAAACTTCTTGGTACCTGGTAATAGAAGAGGTCCAAGACCATTAAGGCCTGGATACACAGGACCATGTGTGGAGTGCAGACCACAATTGTCCTTAGCGGAGGTGGGAGGTCTGTTCCAAAGAATCAGTCCCAAGACTAGAATCTGCAAATAATAGAGGCCTCTCCTGTCCCCAGTTTAAGAGGCAAAGCCTCTACCGTGCACACCCTGGGACCTCGGGAGTGGGTTGTGAGGAGTGTAGTTGGAGAAATTGCTGCCCAGCACTGGAAGTCACTTGCTCCATGCTCGTTTTCATTTTTAATTATGTGGACCTCTGTGTCTTTGTGTGGGTATGTGCACATGTGAGTGCAGGTGCCTGGGGAGTAGAGGGTGCACTAGAATTGGAGTTACAGACAGTTGTGAGCCACCTTGTGGGTGCTGGGAACAGAACCCTGGTCATCTGGAAGAGCAGCAAGTGCTCTTAACTGCTGAATCATCTCTCCAGCCCCTGTTGTTTTCTTCTTTAGATTACTTTCATTCAGACTTTCTTAGAAAATTTACCATGCCATTGAGATTTCAAATTTTTTAGTACAGACTTGTATATACTAGGCTTCTTTTGTCTCTCTATAGTACAACTCAAATTTCTGTATTCTCCTCTTGGTTATTCAAAGGGTGAAATCTATTCTTTTCTTTTCAAAATACCACTTCCAAGCTGGGTATGATGGTCAGCAAGTTCAAAGCCAGCCTGGATTACAGGAAATGCTGTCAAAACAACAGTAACAATAAAACCAAAGAACTCAAAACAATACCAGCTCCTAGATAATTTTATGAGTATTTCTATGTTTTTGTTTTTAAAATGTTTTATAAAGCCTGGCAAGATGGCTTAGTGGGTAAAGGTGCTTGCTGCCCCTGAATTTAATACCCAGCACCCACATGGTGGAAAGAGAGAGACCAAATTCCTCCAGATTGTCTTGTGACTTCTACAGGCATGCAAAGCACAGACACAAATACACATACCTGTATGTATGTATATGTATTACATACATAAAATTTTTAAATGTTCTTTAAAAGGAGCTTTATTTCTTATATTTTAAAATGTATATAATTTGAGGTTTATAATATAGGCTGTAAAATGGTAACTATAGTGAAATACACAAACTTATCTGTTAGCTTTGGCAGTTACTTTTTGTGTGTGATGAGCAGCTAAAACCTACTTAACAGCTTTCTTTTAATACAGTACATGTTCTATTAACTGTAGTTTTCAAGTTATTATTAGATTTTTAGACTTAGTAATCATACATATTTCCTGTTTGCTATCCTTTGACTTATAACTTCCCTATTTTCCACCACTAAAGGCAAATTTTAATGTACTTTTTGACCTAGTAGTTTACAGACATACACCTTTATTTTCAAAGAAATGATTCCTCAGAATCATTCTGTTCATTCCTTTTTCACAAGAGTCCTTTCTTTGTTCTTTTTTAAGGCACGAGATGTCCGTACAAATGAAGTGGTAGCCATCAAGAAAATGTCTTATAGTGGAAAGCAGTCTACTGAGGTAGGTTAAATATGTACATTTGTTATTGGTATGTTAGAAAAACATGCTTTTTGGGGGGGGCGGTCTTTGAGACAGGGTCTCCCTGTAGCCCCAGCTGTCCTGAAACTCACTATGTAGACCAGGCTGGCCTTGAACTCAGAGATCTGCCTGCCTCTGCCTCCCACGTTCTAGGATTAAAGGCGTGCGCCACCACGCCAGTCTTATAAAACTTTTAATAAGACTCATTGCTGGATGTGGTGATTCACGCCTGTAGTCCCAGCACTTGGGAGGCAGAGGCAGGCCGATGTCTGTGAGTTCAAGGCCAGCCTGGTCTACATAGTAAATTCTAGGCCAGCAGGGGCTACAGAAAACCCTTTTTCAAAAAAGACCACAAAAAAAAAAAAAAAAAAAGACAACATAAATTTTGTCAAAGTAAAATTTGTCCTCATGTTTTTTTTTTTGGAGACAGGGTCTCCCTTGTAGTCCCACCTGGCCTGGAACTCAACTATGTAAACTAGACTGACCATGAACTCACAGAGATCCGCCTGTCTCTGCCTCCCAAGTGCTAGGATTAAAGGTGTGTGCCACCACTCTCAGCAAAAAAATTTGTTCTCATGTTTTTGTGTCTTATGTAATTGACTTGTAAACAGTACAGTACTGTAAACAGTACAGTTTCTTTTAAATGTTTTATTTGGTGGATCTGGAGAGATGACATAAGCTGTTAAGAGTAGTTACTGCTCTTCCAGAGTACCAGGGTTTGGTTCGCAGCACCCACATGGCAGCTAACACCTGTTCTTAACGCTAGTTTTATGGAACCCTCTAGCCTCTTCTGCCCTTTGTGAGCACTGGATGCATGTGGTGCACTTGCCTATATTCAAGTAAAACACTGACACACATAAAAAGTAAAAATAAATAAAATCTTAGTCAGGTCTGTGGTATCTCTCACCTTTGGGATGCAGAGGCCTGCAGATCTCTGTGAGACTTAGACCAGCTTGGTCTACAGAGTGAGTTCAGGCCAGGTGGGACTACAGGGAGACCTTGTCTCTAAAAACTAAAAAAATACATAAAATCTTCTTTTAAATTTTTTCAGTTTTGACGTTTCCTGTAAATATCGTAAAGTTGTGTATTGTTAACCCTTTTAAATTTGATAATTTTTCTTCTATAACTTTCAAAGGAAAATCAGCTTTTCATAATTCTCTTGTTCCTTTTTTTTTCTCTACATAGAAATGGCAGGATATTATAAAGGAAGTCAAGTTTCTCCAAAGAATAAAACATCCCAACAGTATAGAATACAAAGGCTGCTATCTACGAGAACACACAGCATGGGTTGGTATTTATTCTCTACTTGTAATTTTAGTTAGTTTTGGTTTAGAATGACTTAACTCAAAATATCTCAGACTGGTTATATTAAAGGCATGCATAGATGTTCGAAATGTTAGTTTTTCCTAGGGAAGGAATAACAGCATTTCCTAAAACTCTTAACTGATAAAAGAACTGTTTCAAGTCTACTGCAGATTTTCCCCAGAATTCATATTTATATGCAAACTTATCTTCAGTAATACCATATGAACATTGTAAAAACAATGAAAATGGAAATTAGCATGTCTTTTTGACATAAATACCTTTTTTTTTTTTTTGGTCTTTTTGAGACAGGGTCTCCCTGTAGCCCAGCTGTCCTGGAATTCACTATGTAGACCATGCTGGCCTTGAACTAAGAGATCTGCCTGCCTCTGCCTCCCGAGTACTGGGATTAAAGGCGTGCGCCACCATGCCTGGCTGACATAAATATCTTTATAGTGTGTTTAACCAGAAAGATCTTGGTGGTTTGGGTACATTCTGGTGAAATTTGATATGACATAGTTCCTTGTGAATAATACTGAAAGTAGAGCATTTATTTATAGGACATTTTGTTAAAAGAAATAGAGGGATTGGAGAGATGGCTGTGGGGTTAGGAGCACTGGCTGTTCTTACAAAGGACCTGGGTTCAGTTCCCAGTTACCCACTTACAAAGGACCTGGGTTCAATACCCAGTTACAGATGGTGGCTAACAACCGTCTGTAACTCCAGTTCCAGGAGAATTAGACGCTTTCTTCTGACCTCTCTGGGCATTGGATGACATGAATGCACTTCCATACATGCAGGCAATGCATGTTGTACACATTAAAAAAAAAAAAAAAGAGAGGGCTGGAGAGATGGCTCAGCGGTTAAGAGTACTGACTGCTCTTGTAGAGGACCCGGGTTTGATTCCCAGCACCCACATGGCGGCTATGAACCGTCCTTAAATCCAGTTCCAGGGGAATCCGAAGCCCTCTGCTGACCTCTGTGCCATTGCATGACATGGGTATTAAAAAAAGAAATAGAGATTAATTTTACTGGTGTTATAACTGAGGTGATGTAGAATTAATGCTACACTGTTAAGTGCACAATAACTGGATTTTTTTTTAATAACTGGATTTTTAAGAGGAAACATTGCCTTTCCTTTATACAGGAATTAATCTTTTTTTTTTTTTTTTTTTGGTTTTTTATGGAAAGGCTCCCCCTGTAGCCCCCGCGTTCCTGGAACTCACTATGTAGACCAGGCTGGCCTTGAACTCACAGAGATCCACCTGCTTCTGCCTCCCGAGTGCTGGGATTAAAGGTGTGCACCACCACGCCCAGCCGGAATTAATCATTTTTAGTAACTAATAAGATACAGTACATTTGGCTTAGATTTAAATTTATAATGTTTGATACATTTTTATTCAGTTTTATTTTGGTGGTGGTGACTCCTAAATTGTGGCAGTGGTTAAAGAAAAATCAGTGATATTTGGCAGATTAACTGTGTCCATCTGTAAAATAAAAATAACAGGATTTAACTCATGGTTGTGGGGAGTATTAAGATGGTTAAGATACATAAAATATTTGATACGGAAGTGATGCTCTGTATTTGCTTTAAAAGAAACATTTACTGATGTGATGGTGCATACCTATAAATCCTAGGTCCTCAAGAGGCTTGAGATGGTAGAAGGATCACTTGAACCCTTAAGTTCAGTTCCATCGTGGCCAGTATAGTGAGACTTGTCTCAGAAAAGGCCTTTTAAAACCTGGAACTCAGTGTTGCTTGCCACAGTCCCTAACTACTCAGGAGGCTCAGCTCTGGAGTTGGAGACCAACCCAGACAACAGTGACCCTTCTTCAAAAATAAAGGAAAAGGGAAGAGGCTTAAACTTTCACCTAAGCTTTGGACATATGGATGTGTTGTCTTGCTCTTTTAACCCCTTATTTTTTCCCTTCCCAGGAAAGTGTCTCATGTAGCCTAGATTGACCTGGAACTTTCTATATAGTTGAGGATGAGCTTGAACTTCAGCTACTCCTGCCTCTACCTCCCAGGTGCTGGGATTCCAACATGTACAGCCAAACCCAACCCACATAGTTCCAAAAGAACACAATTTTCGAACTCCTAAAAAATAACCAATTTTGTTACTATAGTTCAATTTGTATACTCTTAAATTATATTTTAATACATTACAGATGTTACTACATATAATTATAGATGTAATTGGATAGGAAAGTATATTTACAATGCATAGGTTACAGAATTTATTGCATTTTCACATTAAAAAAACGAATGTGCTGGACAGGGTAGTGCACATCTTTAATCCCGGCACTTAGAAGGTAGAGGCAGGCTTATTATCTTTTAAGTTCCAGGCCATTCTAGTCTACATAGTAGTGAGTTCACTGTTATCAATGCTACATAGTGAGACCCTTTCTCAAATAATAATAAAATTAAAAAATAAAAAACAGATTGTTATCATTGGCTTTGTTTTTGGTTTTGTTTTAAGACAGAATCTTTTTTATACCCTGGAATGTCTTAGAACTTACTGTGTAACCCATGCTGGCCTTAAATTTGAGATTTTCTGCCTTGGCATCCCAAGGAGTGAGATTATTGGCATGTATCACAATGCCTGACTCATTGGCTTAATTTTATGTGTACACTTAACTGTATATAACTATTGTAAAAAGTAAATGATGACTGGAGTTTGTTTTACTTCAGTAATTTTATCTCAGACTAAATCTTTATAATGTATTTTAATGCTTTCATAATTTTTCTTTCCATCTAGCTTGTAATGGAATATTGTTTGGGATCTGCTTCAGATTTACTAGAAGGTAAACTAACTTTTAATTTTAAGATGTATGTATGTACGTACGTGTAGGTGGTTTCTTTGGTGGCCTGAAGAGGGTGTCAGATCCTCTGGAGCTAGAGTTACAAGTTGTTGTGAGCTGCCTAAGCCATCATGTGGGTGCTAAGAACAGAACTCTGGTCCTCTGTAAGAACGGCAAATACTCTTAACCACTGAGCCATTTCTCCAGCTCCAGTATAGGCTAACTTTGATGGTTGATTTTTACAGTATTAGAATAAAATAACAGGGCTGCAGGAATGACTCAGTGGTTAAGAGCAGTGACTACTCTTGGAAAGGACCCAGGTTTGGTCTCTAGTACCCGCATGGCAGAGGATCCGATGCCCTCTTTTGACCACCAAAGGCATTGCATGACACTGGTACACTTAAACACATGCAGGCAATACATTCATACACATAAAGTAAAATAAATAAAATAGGGCCAGGCATGGTGGTTCATGCCTTTAATCCCAGCATTCGGGAGGCAGAGGCAGGTGGATCTCTGTGAGTTCAAGGCCAGCCTGGTCTACATAGTTCCAGGACAGCTGGGGCTACAGGGAGACCCTGTCTCAAAAAGACCAAAATAGTAATAATAATATTAATAAATATAAAATAACATTTTAATTAGAGGTTACTTAAAAATTACTAATACAAAATAAAGGCAAAACTTTGTAGAAAGAAAATCTTCTTGGCATGAAATGTGCTATCCTTTCAAAATAGGTAAATATTCTTTCGTTGAAACTTTATAAGCATTTTTCTGAATTCTTTGTCATGCAGCTTGATCTGTTCCTTCTGTTATCAAGAAGTAAAAATAAAGGGAGAATGTTATTTTGTTTTACAATTATCAAGGTAATTGTTGAATATTGTTAGCTAAGAGGAAAAGTTGGCTGAGAAGTATACATTAACATATCTGTCATAACTGTATACTAGTAATAAAGTTTAGGACTCTTGTTATCATCATTGGAAATAAGTCTCTTGCTAAATGTCTGCTTTTATTTCATCTTTTCTCCACCTGAAGCTGAGGACTGAACCCAGGCCCTTACGCTTGCTCAATCCCCAACCTCTGAGAGTCTGCTTTTAAAAATTACCCATATATGTGTTTGGGAGATAACTCAGTAAAATGATTGCCCTGTAAGTGTGAGGCCCTAAGTTCAAATCCCTAGAACCCAAGTAAAATAGGCACGGTAGCATGCATCAGTAATCCCAGTGCTCCTACAGCCAGACAGGAGGTAGAGGCAGGAGAGTTCATGGAAACTTGTGGGCAAACTAGCCTAGCATACAAAACACAGTGGCAAACAGTGGAGAGACCCTGCCTCAAACAAGTTAGAGTGAGGCTGGGTATCCACGGTTATTCTTTGACCTCCACACATGCTCTGTGACTTGCACAGACAATCACATACATACATGCATACATGTCATACACACCCATATATCAATTTGTATATTCATTTTTTTGTATCTTATTCTAGATGTGTATTTTCTTAGCAGAAATAGTCTATGATTACTTTCCAATAAATTTCTTTTCTTAGTTCATAAAAAGCCATTACAAGAAGTGGAAATAGCAGCAATAACACATGGTGCTCTCCAGGGATTAGCTTATTTACATTCTCATACCATGATCCATAGGTAAGTGCCTTGAAAATTACCATATATTGAGAACCAAATATCTTGTTGAATTTATCATGCCTACAATTTAATGGTCGTGGGTTTTTTTGTTTGTTTGTTTGTTTGTTTTGTTTTTTTGGCTTTCGCCAAATAGAATTGTATAAACTCTTATTATTTAGATTGTTCACGTATCAAAAAGAACAAAAAGTATACACTTGATCTGTTTAGGATAAATTTTTAGTCTTTGCCTACATGTGCTGCTGGGTCTTCTAAAGTATATGTGCTACTCTGGATTTGTGGTAGAAATGTAATTGCAGAATCACTTAATTTGCAAACTGGAAGGGACATTAAGGATCGTATATTCTTTTTCATTCTACAGCTGAGGTTTTGGTTTGTGATTAATTTCTCAAAGATTGCAGAGCCAAATAGATAAGAGCTGGAATTTAACAAATCTTTTGTCTTCTTGATAACTGATAATGGCAGATTTTTTCCATTGATTCCATGATACAAAAACTTTCTGATTCTGAGCATAAATCCTTGATCATCCTTGATTGAAAAAAAACCAAACCAAACCTCAATGCAGTATGCACTGATATTAGTCTTGGCTGGTATTAGTCTTGGCTGTTTAGCATTTTAATATATGTAAACTAGACAGTAAATATTAAACCATGCAGTAGGGGCATTTTGAGTTAATGAGTTATTATTTTAGATGTCCAAGAGAAATTCACATGTTAGCAATTGAGTGACAGAGTTCAGAATTTGTTTTCTCATCTCCAAAAATTTGGGATTTAATCCTCAGCATTTCACACTTAGACACATATACACAAAGAGAGTAAAAAAGAGATTCAAAAAGTACTTGTAAATTTGGGTTTTCTTGGGGCTGGAGAGATGGCTTAGTGGTTAAGAACACTGGTTGTTCTTGCAGAAGTCCCGGGTTTGAATCCCAGCACCCACATGGCCGCTAACAACTGTCCGTAACTCCAGTCCCAGGGGATCCGACAGCCTCTTCTGACCTCCGTGGGCATTGCACGACACGGGTGCACTTTCTTACATGCAGGCAATGCACACATACACCTAAAATAAAAATAATAAATAAATTTTTTTTTTAAATTGGGGTTTTCTTTTTAAATTTTTGCAAAGTTAAGTATGTATTAGAGCATCTATTGAACATATATGCCTGTTAATATTCAATTTTTTTTTTTTTTTAGTTTAGATAGTGTGTTTGCTGTTTTAAAGGAGTTTGTCAGTAAATTTGGGGTCATTGATAGTATAGTATGTTATCCACATGCTTCAGGTTTTCATTTCATGTTTAGTTGGGAACTGTGCAAAAGCTTGGAAATGGGGTATTTGGAGGATGAAGTTCTTTTCTCTTTTTCCTTTTTAAAGAAAAATGTTAACTGGGATACGTAGATCTTACGAATCATGAAGGAGTTATTAAATTATATTTTCAAAGCCATTGTTTGTGCTATAAACAAACTCAAATGTAGGTAATATACTACATTTGCCTGATTTTCTGTTTTTGATAACGATTGTCTTCTAGAAAATATTACTATATATATTTACTTAAATTGTGCATTTTTGTTCCCTAATTTCAATATCACAATGTGAGATTATTTCAGCTCTTAAATTCTTTTTAATATCTTCTTTGGTATCTTACAACATTTTATTTGATTTTTTATCATTTTAAACACAGTTTGATGAAGGGATGTGAAATAATTTTCTGTATCCCTTAAACCCAGAGATATCAAAGCAGGAAATATCCTTCTGACAGAACCAGGCCAGGTGAAACTTGCCGATTTTGGATCTGCTTCCATGGCATCTCCTGCCAATTCTTTTGTGGGAACGCCATATTGGTAAGAATAGTCTTTATCTGGTATTGATGCTCATAATTGACATAAGCAATGTGATTAGATTATATTACATAATGATTATACTTTTTCAAGTGTCTTGTCTTTTTTGAACATATACTAGCATTTTGGATACTTAGGACTTTGGTTTTTTTGGTTTTTTTTTCTTGTCTTTTTGAAGCAGGGTCTCCCTGTAGCCCCGGCTGTCCTGGAACTCACTATGTAGACCAGGCTGGCCTTGAACTCACAGAGATCCACCTGCCTCTGCCTCCCAAGTGCTGGGACTACAGGCATGCTCCACCACGCCCAGCAGTACCTTTTTTTTTTTTAATTATTTTTATTTTATGTGTATGCATGTATTGTCTGCATGTAGGTAAGTGCACTGTGTCATGCAGTGCTCACAGAGGACAGAAAAGGCTGTCAGATCCCCTGGAACTGGAGTTACGGGCAGTTATTAGCTGCCATGTGGGTGCTGGGATGTGAACCCCAGCAAGAACAGCCAATGTTCTTAACTGCTGAGCCATCTCTCTAGCCCGTATACTTAGGACTTTTAAAAAAAGATTTTATGTATTTTTTTTTTTTTTATGTGTATTGAGTGTTTTGCCTACATGGATGTACTTGCATGACGTGTGTGCCTGCAGAGGCCAGAAGAGGACATTGGATCCTCTGGAACTGGAGTTAAGGACAGGTATTGGCTTCTATGTGGGTACTCGCAACCGAATCCAAGTCTGAGTGCTCTTAATCACTGAGCCATCTCTCCAGCACCTATATATGATACTGTTTTAAATATAGATTTTCAGGTTTGTCCTTGCAGTTCCTTTTGTTTTTTATCTTTTCTTTCTATCCTTGACACATTTGCTTTCCTATTTTCTCTGTATCATATATTGGCTATGGGAATAAAAATCAGTCACTAATGTTCAAGTAGAGGAAATAGACATACTAAATAAATTAATGTGTATTTTCTTTAAATTTACTTTTTTAAAAAAAATATATATATATATATTTTTTTTATGTGTGTATGCATGTATTGCCTACATGTAGGTAGGGGCATCCATGTCATGCAAAGCCTGCAGAGGACAGAAGAGGCTGTTAGATCCCCTTGAATTGGAGTTAGGGACAGTTGTTAGCTGCCATGTGGGTGCTGGGATTCGAACCCAGGTCTTCTGCAAGAACAGCCAGTGTTTTTAACTGTTGAGCCATTTCTCCAGCCCTTAAGTTTACTTTTTTTTAAAAAAAATTTGTGGCCGTGCGTGTTGGCACATGTCTTTAATCCCAGCACTCAGGAGGCAGAGGCAGGCAGATCTCTGTGCGTTCAAGGCCAGCCTGGTCTACATAGTGAGTTCCAGGCCAGCTGAGGCAACAGGGAGATCCTGTCTCCAAAAAGAAAAAAATTATGTGTCTGTATGATTATGCCATGTCTGTGCAAGTGCTCTTGGATGATAGAAGAAGGTGTCAGATGCTCTGGAACTGGGTTGCAGATGGTTTGAGCCGCATGATGTGGATGCTGGGAACAGAGCTTGGGAAAAGCTCTTAAAGAAAACTTGTGAAACATTCAGTTACTGATAATTAAACATTCATTTTAATCACGAACATCTTATTTTCTATGTGGTATATTTAGAATATGAGAGAACTAGATTACACACCTTGTTTTTTTTTTTTAATTTTATGTGTATGCATGTATTGCCTGCATGTAGGTAAGTGCATCCGTGTCATGCAATGTCCTTGGAGGTTAGAAGAGGCTATCAGATCTCCTGGGACTGGAGTTAAGTACAGTTGTTAGCTACCATGTGGGTGCTGGCATACATGTATTTTTACACACATTGAGGATGGCTGTTCCTCTTCTGAATCAGTTAGCAGCTTGTCTATGTTGTTCATATCTATACATGTTTGTGTCATATGTGTTCATTATGCTTAACACCAACTACAAGCCAATTATAAAGTATCTTCTGCCTTTAGTGTTTTAACTATTTATGGCTGGATGATATATGTATATATATATTTTGGACTGGAGGGGTGGCTCAGCTGTTAAGAGCACTGTAAGTTCTTCAAAGGACCTGGGTTTGATTCCCAGCATCCACATGGCAGCTAACAACCTGTAACTCCAGTTCCAGGGGAATCTGATGCCCTCTTCTGATGTCTGCAAGCATTGCAGGACATGGGTGCACTTAGATACATACAGGCAATGCACTCATACACATAAAATAATAAATTAAAAAAAATTTTTTTTTTTTGTCTTTTTGAGACAAAATTTCCCTGTAGCTGCAGCTGGCTTGGATTCGCTAATGGAGACCAGGCTGGCCTTGAATTCACAGAGATCCACCTGCCTCTGCCTCCTGAGTGCTAGGACTAGAGGCGTGCACCACCACGCCCGGCAATAAAATATTTTTTTAAAAAAGAATGTTAAGGGGCTGGAGAGATGGCTCACCGGTTAAGAGTACTGACTGCTCTTAAAGAGGACCAGGGTTCGAGCTCCAGCACCCACATGGCGGCTATGAACTGTCCTTAACTCCAGTTCCAGGGGAATCCAATGCCCTCTTCTGACCTCTGAGGCATTGCACAACATGGGTGTACTCACATATATGCAGGCAATACACTCATACACATAAAATAAAAAAATAGACATTAAATATATTTTCAGCACTTGGGAGGCAGAGGCAGGCGGATCTTTGTGAGTTCAAGGCCAGCCTGGTCTACATAGTGAGTTCAGGTCAGCTGGGACTACAGGGAGACCCTGTCTCAAAAAAACAAAACAAAAGAATGTTAAGCCGGGTGTAGTGGCGCATGCCTGTAGTCCCAACACTTAGGAGACAGAAGCAGGTGGATCTCTGAGTTCAAGGCCAGCCTGGTTTACATAGTGAGTTCCAGGACAGCTACAGGGAGACCCTGCTTCAAAAAGACCAAAAAAAAAAAGGGGGGGGGGACTGGAGTGATAGCTCAGGGGACCCAGGTTGGATTCCCAGAACCCACATGGTGGCTAACAACTGTTCATAACTCCAGTTCCAGGGAATCCAATGCCCTCATCTGACCTTTGTGAACAGAGCACAGCATGGGTGCACTTATTATATACACGCATCCAATACACTCATACACGTAAAATAACATAATAAAATATTTTTTAAAAAAAGAAAAACATGTTTGATTCTAAACTGCAGCATGGTGGCTCATTCCTGAAATTCTAGCATTCAGAAACTTGAGGCAGGGGCATTGTAGCTAGTTTGAGGCCAACCTTGACTGTTGGAAGATTCTATCTTTAAAAAATATTGGTGTATCATTTATAACTCAGATTTTTGTGAGTTTGAAAATTGTGAACTTGTGAGCTTCTCTGTCCACTTCAAACATGGAATATTATACTTACTTGAAATGGAGATAGATTCAAACTTTGGTTATTCACTAATTGTCATTATGGTAGTTATTTTTCAAAAAATGAAGTGAGGTTGTCAATTCAAGTAAAACAATTCACAGTGTTTGTTGTCCATGGTAAAAGTGAAACTTTCAAACAGACATTAGAATTTTGTAATAAAATCCTGGGAAAGCTTACTTTGGGATTGTCCTTTCGGAATGCTGTTAAATGATCATGATGGATGATGAGAATGAATCTCATGTCTCTACATTGATAGACCTTATAGTCTCAAAGAATAGTATACTTTTATAAACTTTACTAAATGAATATTATATGTTTTAGGATGGCCCCAGAAGTAATTTTAGCCATGGATGAAGGACAGTATGATGGCAAAGTTGATGTATGGTCTCTTGGAATAACATGTATTGAATTAGGTAAGCATTGTTACTCTTCTTCATTACTAGCCATTAAGGTTTTTGTTGTTGGTTATTGGTTGGTTATTGGTTTTGTTTTTATTTTTGTGTTTTGAAACAGGGTCTCACTGTGTAGCCCTGCCTGGCCTGGAACTCACTGAATAGACCAGGCTCTCTTGGAGCTCACACCCACCTGCCTCTGCCTCTTCAGTGCTGGGATTAAAGGCAAATGCCACTACATCTGGCAGGACTAAGTTTGGTTTTTGGTTTTTAAAGTGTTTTTTTTTTTTTTAAGATTTATTATTTTTATTTTACATGTATGACTGTTTAGCTTGTGTGTATGTATGTACATCACATGTGTGCATGCTTGCAGAAGTCAGAAGAGGATATCAGATACCTTGGATCTGGTGTTTCAGGTGGTTGTGAGCTGTCTTGTGAGTGCTGGGAACTGTACCTGGGTTTTCTGCCAAGAGTAGCTAGTGCTCTTCAACTGCTGATCTATCTCTCCAGACTGTTTTGTTGTTATTTATTTGTTTATATTTTTATGTATATAGAGTATTGCCTGCATGTAGGTAAGGGCGCCTGTATCATGCAATGCCCGTGGAGGACAGAAGAGGCCATCAGATCCCCTGGAGCTGGAGTTACGGATAGTTGTTAGCTGCCATGTGGGTGTTAGGATTCAAACCTGGGTCTTCTACAAGAACAACCATTGTTCTTAACTGCTGAGCCATCTCTCTAGCCTGTTTTTAATTTCTAAAAAAGATTTTTTTTTTTTTTGGTCTTTTGAGACAGGGTCTCCCTGTAGCCCTAGTTGTCCTGGAACTCACTATGTAGACCAGGCTGGCCTACAGAGATCCGCCTGCCTCTGCCTCCAAAGTGCTGAGATTAAAGGCGTGCACCACCATGCCCAGCTATTTTTATTTTATGTGTATGAGTGTTTTGCCATATCATGCAGTGCCTACAGTGGCCAGAAGAAGGTGTTAGATCCTGTGGAACTGGAGTGACAGACTGTTGTGAGTGCCCTGTATGTGCTGGGTACTGAACCTGGGTCCTCTGGAAGAATAGTAATTGCTTTTAACTGCTGTGCTGTTGCTCCAGTCCTGGGAATAAGTCCTGGGATCAGTGTTTTACTTCAGTTACTATATCAAGTTAAGGTATTATCAATTTTGAAAAGAAAAAATACAAAGTTTTTGCTTTTGTTACTTGATAGTTTTTTAATATATTAGATTAAATATATTTGCTATTAAATTAGGTCTAAAATAATTTTTCATTGTGGTTTGAAGTATCTGTGTCTGACCTTAATACATGTTCATTTAATTCTTTAATGTACCTAATATTTCCAGATATAACATCCATAAAAAGTTTCTAAATTATCCATAAATTATTTACCTCTATATACAGTAGTTACTACTTTTTAATATATTAGATTAAATATATTTGCTATTAAATTAGGTCTAAAATAATTTTTCATTGTGGTTTGAAGTATCTGTGTCTGACCTTAATAAATGTTCATTTAATTCTTTAATGTACCTAATATTTCCAGATATAACATCCATAAAAAGTTTCTAAATTATCCATAAATTATTTACCTCTATATACAGTAGTTACTACTTTTGAGTTAAGTATAGAAATTAGGGGCTGGGAGCTGGGCATGGTGGTGAATGCCTTTAATCCCAGCACTTAGAAGGCAGAGGCAGAGGCCGTGGATCTCTGTGAGTTTAAAGTAGTAAAATTAGGTGTCAGAGCTGGACCTGGTTGAGTAGGTCTTAAATTCATTAACTCTGGAGGCTGAGGTAGAAGGATGGCAAATTCAAGGCCTGCCAGACTAGAGTGTGAGTTCAAGGCTAGGCAACTTAGTATGACCTGTCTCAAAATAAAAAATACAGAAAAGCTTGGGAATATAGCTCTGTGTAAGTGCTTTCCTAGCATGTATGTGGCCCTGGGTTTAATTTCTGATTTATAACAGAGGGTAGAAAATGGTATCAGGCTATATAACATATTGTAACAGTTTAAGACAGTAAGGCAGACTTCAAGTGGAACCATAGCGATAGGTATAGAAACTACTGCAGTGGGGTCTTGGAGTTGGGGAAACATGCACACAAGATGACAAGGAGTAGGATCTCTGCAATTATAAATATTTTTTAGGTTAAATAAAATTTAAGTGTAGTAGTAGATTATAAGAATTTGAGCTGCACTGGGCGTGGTGGTTCACGCTTTTAATCCCAGCCCTTGGGAGGCAGAGGCAGGCGGATCTCTGAGTTCAAGGCTGCCAGCCTGGTGAGTTGGGGAAACATGCACACAAGATGACAAGGAGTAGGATCTCTGCAATTATAAATATTTTTTAGGTTAAATAAAATTTAAGTGTAGTAGTAGATTATAAGAATTTGAGCTGCACTGGGCGTGGTGGTTCACGCTTTTAATCCCAGCCCTTGGGAGGCAGAGGCAGGCGGATCTCTGAGTTCAAGGCTGCCAGCCTGGTCTACAGTAACTCAGTTGGTAGAGTTCCTGCCTAGCATACATGAAGCCCTTGGTTTGATACTCAAAGCCCATATACTAGACATGATAGTACATGCCTGTAATCTCAATACTTAGTAGGTGCAGCAGGAGAATCCTTAGTTAAAGGATATCTTTGATTAAATAGTGAGTTCAAGGCAAGCTTAACTGCATGAGACCCTTTCTCAAAAAAAAAAGTGTTTGAAATATAGGCCAGTCTTAATGGCACATGCAGGTAATACCAACAATTGGGTGGAAGAATTCGGAGGATCTTGAGTTGGAGAACAGCTTGGCATACATTGTGATTTTCAAATCAGTCTGTGCTACAGAGTGATTTAAAATTAAAAAAAGACAGTTGAGGGTTTGGGGATGCAGCTCAGTTGGTAGAGTACTTGCCTACCTTACATGAAGCCCCAGGTTTGATTTCACAGCACCACATAAAACCAAGCATAATGGGGCCAGAGAGATAGTTCAACAATTAAGATGTTCTTCCAGAGGACCCAAGTTTGATTCCCACCAGCCACATGGCAGCTCACAACCATCTGTAACTTCAGTTCCAGGGGATCTGACCTCTTCTGGCTTCCAAAGGCACCTGGCACGTACTCATACACATAAAATACAAATTTACTTACAAATAAGTAAGTCTGGGGCTCAAGAGATAGTTCAGCCATTAAGAGTACTGACTGCTCTTGCAGAGGACCCAGGTTTGGTTCCCAGCATCCACATGGGAACTAACAACCAACCATCTGTAACTCCAGTTATAGGAGATCCAATGTCGTCTTCTGACTTCCATGGGCATTGTATGACACAGGTGTACTTACACACATGCAGGCAATACACTCACACAAATAAAATAAAATAATAGGTCTGGGCGTAGTGGCACACGCCTTTAATCTCAGCACTCCGGAGGCAGGTGGATCTCTGGGAGTTCAAGGCCAGCCTGGTCTACATAGTGAGTTCTAGGCCTGCTGGGGCTACAGGGAGACCCTGTCTCAAAAAGGTATAAATAAATAAATAAATAAATAAATAAATAAATAAATAAATAAAATATTTTAAAAGGTAAATCTAGGAGCTCTCTGCTCCTGCAAGAGAACCCGGGTTCAATTCCTAGCACCCACATGGTGGCTAACAACCATCATAACTCAAGTTCCAAGGGATCTGACACCCTCTTCTGACCTCTTTGGGCATTGAATGACACAGGTATACCTACCTACATGAAAGCAATATGCTTATAAACATAAAATTTAAAAAATTAAAAAAAACCAAAAAGCATTAACTAGTAGTAGGCCCTGCTGGACTATATGAGGCCCAGAAGAAAAGAGATGTTAGTTGAATCTGCCCAATTAAATACTTTAAAAATTAGAGAAATGGATACATTATTCTTCTATTCTTTCCAAGTTTCCTCAATAATCCTTCTCTCTTTCCCAATTATTCAGCCTTAAAGCCACTGTATAGGACAGAATATGGTACCCATGCTAGTTGATGAACCATGCTAACCTAGGATAGATGTCAGAGTCAAATGAATATAGTAGGGAGTTCCTATATCACAGGGTGTGAAATCAAAAGTGGGTAAGGGGTTTGTATCTAGGGGAGGGTTCACTGTAGAGATTCAGAGGTGTGCTAGAGACGAAAGATTTATTCATGAAGGTAATTTACAGTTACCAGAGATCAAAGAGGGTATGGAAAGACCAACAGAGGGAACATCCCATTCTGTAGAGTCAGTTTAATTCCCAGGACTCATACCAGGTGTCTCACAACTGCTGCCTATAACTCCAGGGAATTCTGTGCCATCTTCTGGCCTCCACGGGCACATGTGTGCATGCATGAGTACAGACACACAAATACACATAAGTAAATACATCTTTTTTAAAAAAGAAGGGCTAGAGACATGGCTGAGCAGTTAAGAGCACTGGCTGCTGTTGCAGAGAACTCAGGTTCTATTCCTAGCACCTACATGGTGACTAACAACCATCCATAACTCCAGTTCCAGGGCATCTGGCACTTGGCTTCTGTGGGCATTGCATAACAAGGGTACATTTACATACATGTAGGCAAAACACTCATATACACAAAAATAAATAAATTTAAAAAAATTTTTTTAGAGAATGCAGGGTGTGGTAGCCACACCTTTAATCCCAGCGCTCAGGAGGCAGAGGAAGATGGATCTCTGTAGGATCTAGGCCAGCGTAGTCTACTTACTGAGTTTCAAGTTAGCCAGAGCTATAGGGAGACCTTGTCTGATACTTTAAATAAATAAATAAATAAATAAATAAATAAATAAATAAATAATCAGTCAAGAGAGAGAAGGGGGCAAGAGGGTCTGTCTGAAAATAGGGACCCCCTTGTAGCAGTTAGCAGACATAATGCCGTTGCTTCTTGGGAATTGTTTGATCCCGGACTGATTGGTAAGAAGTATAGGTAGATCCGTGAAGACAAGATTATACCAGAGTGCAGAGAGGTGATGAAAGAATATTAAAGCCACATCCAAGAACGCTGAAGCCAACTTTGAAATGTTTTTCACTGCTCAGCTGTAAGTTAATGTGAGCACTGTAGTAAACAATAGAGTATAATAAAGTATAAATCTACAAATTTATACAATAAATAAAAGTTTCATGTTACAACAGTTTTTTGGGGTTTTGTTTGTTTTTTGTCTTTTTGAGACAGGGTCTCCCTGTAGCCCCAGCTGTCCTGGAACTCGCTATGTAGACCAGGCTGGCCTCAAACTCACAGAGATCCGCCTGCATCTGCCTCCCAAGTGCTAGGATTAAAGGCATGCACCACCATGCCCGGCCCTAAACAGTATTTTTTAAAAATATATTCAAAGTACCTTCTCACAAAATACTAAGTACAAAGGAGAAAAGGGAAACTTTGCCATGGAGAGTCTTGGCAGGCACAGCCGTAAGTGATCATAGACCACTCAAAATCACCTATCATCTCTCAAAGCACATTGAGCAGAATGTAGTAATATTCTTGCTAAAGACATAGCCAAAATCTCATAGGAAATAGGCAAACTCAAATGAGAGACATTTTAGAGTCCTCAGTACTTCAGATTTGTCAGTCATTATTTCAACTTTCACCTTTTTAAAGATTTTATTTTTATTTTATGTGTATGAGTGGTTTGCCTACATGTATATAAGTGCACCAGTTTCATGTAATGCCTGCAGAGGTCAAAAGAGTTAGATGTATAGTGAGTTAGTACTATAGTGAGTTATCATGGATGGTTGTTAGCCTCTGTGTGGGTGCTCAGAACCCAACCCAGGGTCCTTTGCAAGAGCTTCCAGTGCTCTTAACCCCTGAGTCATCTCTCCAGACCCATTGTTTATTTATTTTAGAAACTAGAAAAGGGCCAAGTGAGGTGGCACATGCCTTTAATCCCAGCAGAGATAGGTGAATTTCTTGAGTTGGGGACCAGCCTGGTCTACATAGTGAGTTCCAAGCCATCCAGGGCTACATAGTGATACCATGTCTCAAAAAAAGGGGGTGTGGAGGAAATCAGTTAAATTGATAAAAATCTTGCCTTACTGGTTAGAAAAAGAAGATCCAAATTTCTAATATTAGGAATGAAAGAAGCCAGAATATAGAAGCTTGCATCTATAATCCCAAAGCTCAAGAGGCTGGTTTGAAATTGAAGTCTCTTGACTTCAGATTAAGACCTTGTCTCAAAACAAAAGTATAAGCTATGAATGAGAGGTGGTAATCAGTAACTGGGGGAGATGGCTCATTGGGTAAGAGCATTTGCTCTACAAACATGAGGACCTAAGTTCAAATCCTCAGAACCCATGTTAAAATTCCGATATAGCTGTGTATGCTTGTAATCTCAGCCTTGGGAGTCAGAGATAGGCAATACCTAGAACTTCCAGTCAGCCACCCTACCCAAAAAAGGCAAGTTTCCAGTTCAGTGAAAGACCCTGTCTCAAGGCAATAAATTAGAGAGCAATAGATAATGAAATCTGTCTGTATACACATGCACAGGTACACATACACATACACAGCCCCCCCCCCAGATAATATAGAAATATGAACAATGTTATGCCCTTAAGTTTGGCAACTCAGTAAAATGGACAAATACCTTGAAGGACACAAATAGCCTCGACTACATACAGCATTATTGGGGCATTGCAATAAAATTTGAATGGAGTTTGGGATTAGATGATTTTATCAGCATTAAATGACATGATTTAATGAATACAGTATGGTTTTTATGAAAATGTTCTTATTTGTAGGAAATGTACATTCAGGTGTTTAGCAGTGGTGGGGTGCCAGATCAGCAGTTTATTCTCAGTTGATTCACTTAAAAAAGGTCTTTGTACTCAAATTTTGCTAAGTTAAGGTTTTTTTCAAAATTAGAAATATATTCTTAAAAGCTTGATCAACACTTGAATATCCTTATATAATATACACATATTTTAACAGGAAAGTTTCCTTTCTTTTATAGCGGAGAGGAAGCCTCCTTTATTTAATATGAATGCAATGAGTGCCTTATATCACATAGCCCAAAATGAATCCCCTACACTACAATCTAATGAATGGTGAGTATTGATAAGAGATATTGTGTAACATTTTAAAAGTGTAAATTTAAAATTGTTAGCAAAATGACTTAATTTTATGTAAGTAAATGAACTAACTGAAAACTGGTTTAATCCCCCCCCCTCCCTTCCAACAGGGTCTCCCAGCAACCCCAGCTGGCTGACACTTGCTATGTACATCAGGCTGGCCTTGATCTCACAGAAATCCACCTGCCTCTTGAGTGCTGAGACTAAAGGCGTGTGCCGCCATACAATTGTTAGTTTCCTCTTTTTTTTTTTCTTTTTGAGACAGGGTCTCCCTGTAGCCCTAGCCTGCCTGGGTGCGCCACCACACCCAGCTAGTTTCCTCTTTCTTACATTGATCCTTTGACATCACTATACTTTCTAGCATATATTACATAAAACTTAGTTCAGAAAAAAAGGATATAAAAGTACGGTTTTTACAAAAATTTGTGTTTTACTTTTTAGGAGCATAAATGACCCTAATCATGTAATAGCATTTTAAACATTGATATTTTATAACTCAAATGCATAAATTATTATAACCTGTAGGATATATGATTGAAGAATAAGCTTATAATTGATGTTATATAAGACTAGATATGCCGGGCGTGGTGGCACACACCTTTAATCCCAGCACTTGGGAGACAGAGGCAGGTGGATCTCTGTGAGCTCTAGGCCAGCCTGGTCTACATAGTGACTTCCAGGCCAGCTGGGGCTGCAGGGAGACCCTGTCTCAATGCCACCCCCCAAAAAAAAGACAGGTAAAAGGGTTTGACTCTTTCAAAATTATTATTTAAAACTCAGGAAATTTTAGTTACAATTATGATGTTATTCATATTTTGATTTTTCTTCCAGCATAGCCCTTGATTTGATAAAAATAGGTTTACTCATATAAAACAATTTATGGAAAGAGATTAACAATTTTACACTAGAGAGTTTTTATGAATGGTGAAAGGTTGTATATTTGTTACTTACTACTGTAACAAAATACCTGACTAAAGTAATCTAAGGAAGGGTGGGTTTATTTAAAGGGTTCACAGTTTGAGGGTACAGTTCATTATGGCAGGGAAGACCTGGCCCAGGAGCATGAAACAGCTGGTTACATATGACTGCAATCAGGAAGCAGAAAGCTGAATGCTGGTGTTCCACTTGCTTTGTCTTTTTTATTCAGTCTGGGACCTGAGCCCATGGGATTCATGCCACCTACATTCAGAGTGGGTCTTTCTTCCTCAATTAAACCTGGAAGCATTCTGATAGAACCACTCAGAAGTGTGTTTCCTTGGTGGTTCTAAATCTAATCAGATTGACAATCATTACTCTACCCTTTGTCAACATGACACCTGAGCATATCACTTTAGATAATACCATTCTACTTCTTGCCCCTAAAGTCACATTTTGATCTTACAATGCAAAATATCCCAGCATTTGGGAAGCAGAGGCAGGGGGATCTCTGTGAGTTCAAAAAAAGAAGTCCCCATAAGTGTTTGTTTCCAACACTCTACAGAAGTCCAATTTTTCTGAGATTTAAGACAAACTCTATTTTTTTATTTTATGTGTATGACTATATTGCCTGTATGTATGTAAGTGCACCCATGTCATACAATGTCTGAGGAGATGAGAAGAGGACTTCAAATCACCTATAACTGGAGTTACAGATGATTGTCAGCCTCCATGTGGGTGTTGGGAATCCAACTGGAGTCCTCTGCAAGAGCAGCCAGTGATCTCAGCACTTAGGACGATTGAATATTGAAGATGAACATTGATGGAGTAATTATTTACTGCCCTAATTACTGAGCTCCTATAACACTATCATGATACATTACAGGCTTGTTTAAAAATACATGTGACAGAATATATGGGTTCTAGTAGGGGGGGTATAGGAGGATGCCGGTGGGGACAGGGGTATAAAGATGATTAAGATAGTTTGAGATATTCTGTATAAAATACACAATTCAGTAAAAACAGCAGCAACATAGGTATATCTAAATTTGTTTTATAGGTTTAATAAAAGTCTTATCCTTTTGCTCAGGGGTACCATATGCTCAGGTATAAAAAAAATTGCTCTTCTCCAGATCTGATAAGAATTATGTTCTGAAAGGTGCTCCATAGAAAACAACCCAAAGGGGTTGTTTAAAGAAAGGTGAGGAGCCAGGCATGGTGGCGCATACCTTTAGTCCCAACACTTGGGAGGCAGAGGCAGGCGGATCTCTGTGAGTTCAAGGCCAGCCTGGTCTATATAGTGAGTTCCAGGACAGCTGGGGCTACAGGGAGACCCTGTCTCAGAAAGACCCCCCCAAAAAAAGAAAGGTGAGACGCTGCACATGGTGGCACATGTCTGTAGTCCCAGCTGCTGGGAGGCAGAGGCAGGTGGATTTCTGTGAGTTCAAGGCCAGCTAGGGCTACAGGGAGACCCTTGTTTCAAAAGAAAAAAAAAAAACAGGAAAGGTGAGAGGAGAGGTTACCTAATGGAGGGTGGGAAAGCATATTTGAGAGGAATAAAAAGTCTGGATAGGCTTTCCTCCTTTTGCCTCAATATAGAATATGGGAGAACAAGAACTTTTTTTTTTTCCCCCTTTTAAAAAAAGTTCCATGTTCCAGTATACAGGTGAACATGGAACTATAGCCTAGGATTTTTAAATGATTTTTGTAAATTTTTTTTGGAAAATGAATAGTAAAGATGCATTGATTGCTTTAGATCACTTTTTATAGATAAAATTATGTAATCTACTTTATAGAATCATTCCTTTCCCATTCTCTTCTCATGAATAGTCATGTGCCTTTTTGGATGTGTTTTTAAAAGAAATAGCAATATGTTCACTTGATACTTTCCTTTACAATAGGTCTGATTATTTTCGAAACTTTGTAGATTCTTGCCTCCAGAAAATCCCTCAAGATCGTCCTACATCAGAGGAACTTTTAAAGGTCAGTTCTACAAAACTTGATTCATTTTCCCTTAAGAAATGATTTTACAGTGTGTTTTCTTATTATTTGATTATGAATAGAGATTAACTGTATCAGTGGGTAAGGGCCCTTGGTAGCCAAACCTCCTGACCCTCATTCAATCCCTGGAACATAGTAGATGGAGAAAATTTACTCTTATAGGTTGTCCTCTGATCTCTACATGTGTGCCCACACATATACATAATCATTCAATCAATAAAATGTAATTTATAAAATTTTAAAAAATCATTTATATTCAAATTTTAACTGGCTTTTCTCAAAAATTACTTCATTTGAATGCTGACCATCTAATTAATACCATTCATTAATAGTTTTTTGTTGTTGTTTGGGGGGCGTATTTTTGAGACAGGGTCTCCCTGTAGCTCCAGCTGGCCTGGAACTCACTATGTAGACCAGGCTGGCCTCGAACTTGCAGAGATCCACCTGCCTCTGCCTCTCAAATGCTGGAATTAAAGGCGTGCACCACTACACCTGGCCATTAATAATATTTTTTAAAATATTCTTTTTGGCTGGGTGTGGTGGCACATGCCTTTAATCCCAGCACTCGGGAGGCAGAGGCAGGCAGATCTCTGCTAGTTCAAGGCCAGCCTGGTCTACATAGTGAGTTCCAGGACAGCTGGTCTCAAAAAGACCCCCCCCAAAAAAAAATTTTTTTTTTTTAAATTTATTTATTGGTCTTTTTGAGACAAGGTTTCCCTGTAGCCCCAACTGGCATGGAACTCACAGAGTCATCTCCCTCTGCCTTCCAAGTGCTGGGATTAAAGGTGTGCACCACCATGCCTGGCTTATTTATTTACTTTTTATGTGTATGAGCATATTGCCTACATGTAAGTGCTCCTGTGTAATGCAGTACCTGCAGAGATCAGAAGAGAACGTCAGATACCCTGAAACTGGAGTTACAGATGGTTGTTAACCACCATGTGGGCGTTGGGAACCAAACCCAGGTCATTTGTGAGAGCAGTCAGTGCTCTTAACCACTGAGCCATCTCTTCAGCCCCCCATTAATAGTATTATTGAATTTAATGTGGTTCTTAAAATAATCTTTTTTTGAGATGGAGACTCTGTGTATTTCATGCTGGCCTTGAACTTGCTGTGTAACAGAAGATGGCCTCAAAAGTTCTAACCATCCTAAGTACTGTGTGCTCCACATGTGGTTTATGTGATGCTAGAATTAGACCCAAGGCTTCATGCATGCTAGTACAAACTCTTTATCAACTAAGCTATAACCCCAGCCCTCATAAGACATCTTGACAAGGCAATAATGGATTTGACTAAAGTTCTTTGTAATTCTACAGAATCTTCTTTCCACAACATTTACATGACCTATTTTTAGATTAGTGTTACTGAATTCATAGCAGGTTAGTTTGTTTTCACTGACGCACATCAACTAAATTAAACTTAAAACAATTTTAAGAGGTTATATATGCAAGTATATATTTGATAATATTATTTACAGTAACAGTATACAGAAGAACAATTAAAAATTTTCATTACTGCTTGCATAATTCCAGGGAATGGGTTTACTCATGATCTCAGAAATGAAAGCGTGAACAACTAGATACTCAAAGAAGCAACAGAATTTTTAGTGGTCTGGGTGTCGTTGCTCATGCATAGAATCACAGCACTAGGAAGCTGAGGTAGGAGGACCACAAGTTAAAAGCCAGCCTTGACTATCATAGTGAAGCTTTGTCTCAAGAAAAAGGAACCTATAATGTCTGCATTCAGATTACTTTCTTTACCATCAATTAATGTTTCTACTTAAATCAAGCATGGATTATTAAAAGTAGATTCTGTGTCAGGCATGGTGGCACATACCTTTAATTCTAGTACTCTGGGAGCAGAGGCAGGTGGATCTCTGTGAGTTCTAGGCCAGCCTGGTCTACATAGCAGGTTCCAGGCCAGCCAGAGTGGCATCGTGAGACCCTGTCTCAAAAAAAAAAAAAAAGTGGATTTTATATAAAATCATCAGTTTTTAGAATGTGCAGACTTTTGGAAATAGTGATAGATTTAGTTCTTAGTATTTAAACCCTTTATGTTTTCAGTTCTCTGTCTTCATTGGCCAACAAACAAAAAATGCTAGTGAAAGATTTTATTAGGGCATGCTTACATAGGCTTGAAGACCAAAAGTACAGAAATTATCATTTTCTAAGTGTCAGAAGTTAGACATGTAATAGAATTAAATGGCTGTAGAGTGCATGGACTATGTTTCAGAGTAGTAACTTCAGACTATAAGATGGAATATATTTGAACTAATTAGAAAAAAAAATATTTAACCTACTTCTTTCTCCTTTCTACCCTCTCTAGCACATGTTTGTTCTTCGGGAGCGCCCGGAAACAGTGTTAATAGATCTTATTCAAAGGACAAAGGATGCAGTAAGAGAGCTGGACAATCTGCAATATCGAAAAATGAAGAAACTCCTTTTCCAGGAGGCACATAATGGACCAGCAGTAGAAGCACAGGAAGAAGATGAGGTAATACCTAAAATGACTCAAATCTTGAATTCTCTTCATTTAGTTTTTACTTATGCAACTTGCTCTGCCAAGAATACCTTTTATATCACTGGTTCCAAGGTAGTGTTTTCTTATCATTTGTTCCTTAAGATTCTAGTTGGGAAGGTCTTTAGTCACTTCATTATATACTCTCGATGCAACCCTTTTATAGTCTTTAGTACTAAAGAACCTGTTTGCTAATCAGGCCTTTTAATGCTTTTTCCTTTAGGAGCAAGATCATGGTGTTGGCCGGACAGGAACAGTGAATAGTGTTGGAAGTAATCAGTCTATTCCCAGTATGTCTATCAGCGCCAGCAGCCAAAGCAGCAGTGTTAACAGTCTTCCAGATGCCTCAGATGATAAGAGTGAACTTGACATGATGGAGGGAGACCACACTGTGATGTCTAACAGTTCTGTCATTCATTTAAAACCAGTGAGTATTTGGATTTCAGTGGAAAAAAGATCTCAACTTTACTCAGTAATTTTCTTCATCTGATTAATATTGGAGATCCTCTTTGAAGTTTAAGAAGTTTGGAATCTGGGTGTGGTGGCACACACCAGCACTCCAGAGGCAGTGGCAGGTGGAGCTCTGAGTTGTACTTGATCTGTGTAGGAAGTTTCAGGCAAACCATGGATATATAGTGAGACTCTGTCTTAAAGGAAAAAAAAAAAAAAGAACAGCAGGGCCCAGAGAGATGGCTTAGTAGTTAAGAGCACTGACTGCTCTTGCAGAAGACTTGGGTTTGAGTCCCAGCATGCATGCATTCATATATATATAAAATAATAATAACAACAAAACATAGCAATAACTTTAATTCTTAACCTGCTACCTGCATTTGGGAAACTACTGTTTTGAAATACAAAAAGATGTAGAACCATTTTAGAAAAAAATAAAAATAGAGAAATTACCACATAATTTGTTATTTGAAATTGCTTACATGGAAAATAAAATTTTAAAAAATAAGGTTATATATTAAATTCATGATAATAGTTACCATTATCGTGAATGAGAAAATGAGAGTTGAAGCTGGGTGTGGTGGCATACACCTTTAAAAATCCCAACATTCAGGAGGTAGAAACAGGTGGATCTCTGTGAGATCAAGATCAGCCTGGTCTACATAATGAGTTCGAGGCCAGCTGTGGCTACAGGGAGACTCTGTCTCAAAAAAGACCAGAAAAAAGAAAATGAAAGAGTTAAGTATGACTAATGAGCAAAAGCAACTTTTGCAGTATCCATTTTTATGTCTTTAAAATAGAAAAAATGTCATTTTGAAAGTAAATGTGGGCGTTTGCTACATTATTCTTTGTAATTTTTTGCATGTGTATGTGTGATATTTATGAATGTGTGTGTGCGTGTTGGTGGGAAGCATATGTGGATACATGCGTGTGGAAGCCCAGGGTCGATGTCAGGAATGTTTTTTGAATACACTCTACCTTATTATTTGAGGCAGGGTCTCTCAGTTGGACCCATAGCTCAATGATTAGACTAGTATAACTAATCAGCTTGGTCTAGGGATCCCTTGTCTCTGCCTTCTGAGTGCTAGAATTACAGCATTTATGTGGGTCCTAGGGATCCAAACTGGAGTCTTTGAGCTTATATGGCAATTGCTTTATCCACTGAGCCATTTTCCCAGCCCTTCTCTGCAACTTTGAGTATAGATTTTTTTAGTTTTCTCAAGAGTATTGACAAGATGGTGCTGGAGAGATGGCTCAGCAGTTTTGAGCACTGGCTGTTTTTGCACAGGATCCCAGTTCAAATTCTAGAATATACATGGTGACTAACAGCCATCTGTAACTCCAGTTCCAGGGTATCTGATGTCCTTCTTCTGACCTCCGTGGACACTGCATGACACAGGTGTACTAACATACATGCATGCAATACACTCATACACATAAGATATGAATAAATTTTAAAAATTGAAAAATAATATTGGCAAGTCAAGGACTGGAGGTGTAGCTTGATGATAAAGTGCTTACCTTGCACACAGGTGACCTTGGATTCAATTCTTAGCCTGTAGATAATATTTGCTTTAGTTATCAGTAGTGGTTTTTTGTTTTGTTTTGTTTTTGAGACTGAGTTCTGCTGTATAGCCCTAACTAGTTTTGAACTTAGAGTGATTCTCCTTCTTCTGCCTCTGGTAATGATCTCTTTAACTTTACAGCTTATGGCATTATTGAACAGTTATTAAGAATAATAATTAGAAGTTAGGAACAACCAAATGTCTACCAACAGATGAGTGGATAACAAAATTGTGGTATATGTATTCAATGGACTCTTGTTCACCTATAGACAGGAATGAAGTTCTAATGTATGCTATAATATGGATGAAAGGCAAAAACATGCTGAGTGTTGGGCATAGTAGCACAGGCCTGTAATCCTAGCTACTTGGAAGTATGAGACAGGAGAATTATAAATTCCAGGTCAGTCTTGGGTATATAATGAGACCTTATCTCAAAAATAGACCTGGAGGCATAATTCAGACACAAATGGAAATATTTAATAATGAAACTTAAAATATCTAGCTCAGAAAATTTATAGGGATAGACAGAAGTTTGTAAGTTACCATGATCTGAGTAGGGAAAATATGGAAGTTATTGCTAATTAATGCAAAGTTTCTATTTGCAATGATGAAAAAGTTTTAGAAATAGGTTCGTAATATTTAATATAATCAGTGCCAATTCAAATAGTAAAGGAACAAAATTTTTATTAAACCTATTTTTTTATTTAAATTTTTTTTCTGGTCTTTTTTGAGACAGGGGCTTCCTGTCACCCCAGCTGACCTGAACTCACTATGTAGACCAGGCTGGCCTAGAGATTCACCTGCCTCTACCTCCCAAATGCTGGAATCAAAGGCATGTGCCACCACACCTGGCTTTTATTAAATCTATTTTAACACATACACAAGAACTGTTATGAATGCTGGTTAAACTGTAATATCATTAATGTAAAAATTACATTTTGGTCTTTTATTTAAAAGTCACATTTAATTTTTTTTTTTTTCCTTCAAGACAGAGGCTTATTCAGGCCCAAGCCTTCCTCAGACTTAGGCTAATCCTCTTGCCTCAGTCTCCTGATTACAGATACCATTAAAAATCACATTTAAGGACTAGAGAGATGGCTCAGCTGTTAAGAGCATTGTCTGCTCTTGTAGGGGACATGGGTTCAATTCCCAGCACCCACATTTTGGCTAACAACTGTTCATAACTCCAGTTCTAGGGGATCTGATGCCCTCTCTGACCTCCAAGGGCATTGCACGACATGGGTACATTTACATGCGTACAGGCAATACACTCATACACATAAAATAAAATTTAAATAAATCACATTTAAATTTTGTATATATAGGCAATGGAATCAATCATGAAAAGATTGTTTTACAGCTGCAAAAAAAAAAAAAAGAAAAGAAAAAAATTGTTATGATTAGTTGTTGCTACTTTGTTGAGTTCCTCATTTATTTATGCTTGAAACAGGATCTTGCCCATGCTGGCCTGGAACTCTTGGCAATCCTCCTGCCTCAGCCTCACAAGTCTTGGGATTACAAGCATGAACCACCATGCCTGGCTTGGCTTCCTCTTAAGGTTAGTAAGCTGAAATAAAGAAGAAACATGAATTCTTTAATTTTTGCAGCTAGTTTTTTTTTTATTGCTTCTGTTTAACAAATAGCAGAAATAAAATCCTATCATCGTGGCACATGTCCCCCTCTCAAAAAAAACAGAACCAAAGCTTTATTGTTTGTAAAACCCAAAGAGCCTTTGAGTAATTAATTTTTTTTTATTACCATTGCTTGAAGCATTAGCTACATGTTGTATTATTTTTGTTTTAAAGTTACATTAAAGCTTTGGTGTTTTGTTTTTTTCCAGGTTTAATTTTATTTTTATTATTACCCTTTTTTTGAGACAGCGTCTCCCTATAGCTCCAGCTGACCTGGAACTCAACTATGTAGACCAGGACCTTGATCTCATAAAGATCTGCTAGCCTCTGCCTCCCTCTTTGATATATCTGCTGGGATTAAAGGCATGTGTCACCCCACCCAGCTATTTTTATTATTATTATTAATTATGTACATATATGTGGTTCTATGTGTAGGTGAGTGCAGGTTTTCTCAGAGGCCGTAGGCATAGGATCCCCCTGGAGCTGCCATGTGGGTGCTGGGAATCAAATTTGGGTAAGAGCAGTACATGTTTTTAATTGCTGAGCCATCTCTTCAGCCCAGACTTCAGTTTTGTGTATAATGTTTTTGAATATAAATATAGCTGTACATACTTTCTTATGTTGACTCTATACTATTTCATGTACTATGGAAATGATTTTGGTAGCCAGTTGTGGTAGCTCACGCCTTTAATCCCAGCACTCGGGAGGCAGAGGCAGACAGATTTCTGTCAGTTGGAGGCTAGCCTGGTCTACATAGTGAGTTCCAGGCCAGCTGGGGCTACTGGGAGACCCTGTCTCAACACCCCCCCCCAAAAAAAAAGATGGTAGTAGAGCTGGGTGTGGTGGTACACACGGCTTTAGTCCTAGCACTCTGGCGGCAGAGGCAGGCGGATTTCTGTGAGTTCAAGGCCAGCCTGGTCTACAAATCAAGTTCCAGGCCAGCTGGGGCTACAGGGACACCCTGTCTCAAAAAAAGACCAATAGCAACAACAACATGATAGTATTTCTACTTTTTGTTACAGCATTATAGAATCGTGTATTTTTGAGATTATTGATCAAATTGTCTTTTTTTCTTTTTCGTTTTTGAAACAGGATCTACTTATAGCCCTAGCTGGCCTGGAACTCATATGTAGACCAGGCTCACTTTGAACTCACAGAGATTTGCCTGCCTCTGCCTCCCAAGTGCTGGGACTACAGGTGTCTGCCACCATGCCCGGCTTCAAATTGTCTTTAAATCTTTAATTTTCTTGAATGTTCAAATGGTTTGCCTTGCATAATGTCTTTTTTTTTTAAGGAGGAAGAAAATTACAGAGAGGAAGGAGATTCTAGAACAAGAACAGCAGATCCACAGTCTCCACCTCAAGTGTCTCGTCACAAATCCCATTATCGTAATCGAGAACATTTTGCAACTATAAGGACAGCATCTCTGGTACGTGTTTCCCACACCCAGATAATAGTATATTTGTTATGTTGGCTAAATAGATTAAAGTATATTTGACTGTCTTATTTTTGTGTTTGATGTTTGTTTTGCAAACTGTTCATCATCTAAGTACCCTGTTATACAAAAGCACTCTGTGAAATGTTAAACTAATAATGTCTTAAAAGACAGTTATTAAAATATTTTAGAATGTACTAAATGTTTATGAAAGCTAGAAGGAGACCAGGTGTGATAGTGCATTCCTTTAATCCCAGCACTCTGTAGGCAGAGGCAGCCAGATCTACATAGTTCGAAGCCAGCCCCACTACAGGGAGACCCTGTCTCAAAAAGACCAAAAAAAACCGAAAGAATTGAAGACATTATCAAACAGATGAAAGATAAAAGCTAAAGGGAACTGAGTTGTACATTTTTGGTGGTAATATAAATTAGTACAGTCTTTATGGAAATTCCTTCAAAAACTTAACAGTAGCCAGGGTTGTTGATACACACCTTTAATCCCAACACTTGGGAGGCAGAGGCAGGTAGATCTTTGAATTTGAGGCCAGTCTGGTTTGCTTAATAAGTTCCAGGCTGGCCAGCACTGCATATTGAGACCCTGTCTGAGGAGAAAAAAAGAAAAAAAGAATCCAAGCCAAAGAAACCTAACACTAGAACTAACATATGACACTGGGAATGCAGCCAAGGAATTAAACTTGATATTTTGAAGGTATATGTTTACTCCTATGTTTATAGAGTGTTATTTACAACAGCCCAGATATGGAATTAACTTAATAGACCAATGGACAAATGGGTAAAATAAGTATGTGTGTGTGTGCAGGAGCAAGAAGGATCCTGATACTAGTGACAACATGACACGAAAAGATTAATATCACATGATCTGACTTACATAGAAATCTAAAAGACTCAGAGAACTACAAAGCAGAACTGAAGGTTTAACAGAGCCTGAGGTTGGTGAGGGAATATGGGGACTTCTGTTGCATGCCTTTAATCCCAGCACTCTGGAGTCAGAGGCAGATGGATCTCTTGAGATCAGGCCAGCCTGGTCTATATAGTGAGTTCCAGGCCATACGGGGCTACAGGGAGATCCTGCCTTATGTCTCAAAAGCATACTAAGTGAAGTAATTTAGATGCACTAAATAACAGTTTACATATAAAATACCTAGAATAGGTAAATACATAAAAACCTGGACCGTAGTGGTCATCAAGTACAAAATGAGAGCAACTTTGTGTGGAGGTTTCTGCTGATGTGACAAGTACGTTCCATAGATACATAAAGTTATGGTCACATATCATGGTAAAAGTACTAAATGCCACTGGATTGTTCACTTTTTAAAAATTATTATTATTTTATATGTATGAGTATATTGCCTGCATGTATGTAAGTGCACCAGTGTTGTACAGTGCCCGTGGAAGTCAGAAGAGGGTGTCAGATTCCCCTGGAACTGGAGTTACAGATGGTTGTTAGCTGCCATGTGGGTGCTGGGCATTGAATCTCAGTCCCCTACAAGTGCACCCAGTGCTCTTAACTGTTGAGCCATGTCTCTATCCCTGAATTATTTACTTTTATATGATTGATTTAAGGCAGGCATGCTTGGTGATGCATGTCTGTATTCACAGGACACAGGAGGCTGAAGCAAGGTTAATTTTATAAGGATTTCATGGGCTGGAGGCTAGAGGGATGGCTCAGCAGTTAAGAGCACTATCTGCTTTTGTAGATGACCTGGGATTAGGTTCCCAACACCCACATGGTAGCTAACAGCTATCCTCAACTCCAGTTCCAGGAGACCAGATGCTCTCTTCTGGCCTTCGATGGGCATTGCACAACATGGGTGCACTTAGATACATGCAGGCAAAACACTCATACACATAAAATAAAAATAAAAAATATTAAGGAATTTATCTAAATATTGCTGTTTTTGTTTTTTTTTTTTAAGACAAGATATCACTGTGTAGCCATTGATGGCCTGGAACTTACTATGTGCAAACCAAACTGACCTTAAACTGACAGAGATATACCTGCCAGAGTGCTGGGATTAAAGATGTGGGCCATCACATCCAGCTCATTTTTTTTTTTTTTCTTGATGGCCATTATTTTTCTGTCCTGCCCAAGAAATATTTGTCTACTTAAAGATCATAAAAGTAGTCTGTTTTCTTCTGGTTTATGATTTTAGATTCAGATTTAGGTTAAGTGATCTTTCTCTAGTTTTTTTGTATGTGTTTTTGGAAACAGGATCTCTCACTGGAACTTGCCAATTTGGCTAGATTGGCTGACCACTGGTATGTACCTCCCTAGCACTGGGATTACAAGCATGCACCACCATGCCTGGTGGGTTCTGGTGTTGGATTCAGTTCCTCATGCTTGTTCTGCAATTTCCTGAACTCTAATTTTTTATGAGAAGTGAATGATAAAGGCTATCAGGGTAGAGGGCCAGTTGTTTTTGTAGTTTGTTAAAAACACTTTTCTTTCCTTTGAATTTGGTAGAAAATGGATTAAACATGTTTGAGTTTATTTCTCTATGAGTGGTTGAGTGAATTGGTTGGTTGGTTAGTTGGTTAATTGGTTGGTTGGGTTTTTATTAATCTAATATCTTCCCTAGGCTAGTCTAGAATTCTTGGGCTTAAGAGATCCTTCCACTTCAGACTCTGAAGTAGTTTGGACTATAAGCACACACGTCTTTGTACAGGGGTTTGCAGTTTTTGTTCTGTTTCTTCATCTGTTTAGCTTATTCTTATGTCAGTATCATACTGTCTTGATTACTGTTGTGCTCATCCTCCTGCTTTATTTCCTTGAAGACTATTTTGTCTATTATAGGTCTTTTATATTCCTATATAAATTTTAGAACCAGCTTGTACATTTCTTTAAAAGATCTGCTAGAAATTCAATCATAAACTGCTAGTATAGGAATCTCTATGTATTTAGCTACCTAGGTAATAGTAATGTTCCAAATGCTTTATGATTTTTATCTTGGTTGAGACAGGGTCTTGTGATACAGCCCTGGCTTGGCCTTATTGTATAACCCAGACTGGCCTTGAACTCTTGACAGTCTTCTTGTCTCAGGTCTCCCACATGCTAGGATTACAGGCCTATATCACCATGACCATCTTTCTAATTCCTTGTAAAACTAAAAATGTTTTGCTTTCTTTTTTCCTCTTCTATTATTTTTGCATGTCTAGGTTACAAGGCAAATGCAAGAACATGAGCAGGACTCAGAGCTTAGAGAACAGATGTCTGGTTATAAGCGTATGAGGCGACAGCACCAAAAGCAGCTCATGACTCTGGAAAATAAACTGAAGGCTGAGATGGATGAACACCGACTCAGATTAGACAAAGATCTTGAAACTCAGCGTAACAATTTTGCTGCAGAAATGGAGAAACTTATAAAGAAACATCAAGCTGCTATGGAAAAAGAGGTGACTGATTTAGTATTATTTATTTTAACCTGTGTTCAGCTCAAATTAACAGCATTTTAATGTTTTGATCCAGGAAAGAGAGCATGTGTGTAATTTCTGTAAGGTTTTCTGTAAATTAATAATGTATGTGTCACACACAAAGATGGTTCCTATGTCCATCTTTTCTCTAATTTTGTGAATGAGTGTCTGTTTTAAGTCTGAAAAATGGGTGTGCTTTAATTTCAAGTACTGTCTGGGAACTGATAATCACAGGATTCTTCCCTGATATTTGATAGTTTCATGGTATCATAATGGGTCACTCATCTCTTCTAAACTTATTTTGAGGTCAAGAATTGTGATAAATCCCCTAATAAACAGGTGGTTTTAGTCTCAGAAATTAACTCATGATTCTCTTTCCTGTCCACGCGCACACTGTCTACATATTAGGTGCTTTCCTTAAATTTATATAGGAGAGGACTGGGGAGATGGCTCAGTGAGTAAAGTACTTGCCACACAAGCCTAAGAACCAGAGTTTGGATACCTGCAACCCACATAAAAGCTGGGTGGGCATGGCGTCCTATCTAATCCCAGCACACCACAGGCAGAAACATGGAAATCACTGAGGAAGCTAGCTAGCCAGATTAGCCAAAATGGCAGGCTCTGGGTTTAGAGAGACCTTGCCTTAATATGTAATGTAAGGTTGAGAGCAATTGAGAAAGGCATCAGCCTTAGGCCTCTATACACACACAGAGAGAGAGAGAGAGAGAGAGAGAGAGAGAGAGAGAGAGGAAGGCATCAGCCTTAGGCCTCTATACACACACACACATACCCTACTTGCAGACAACATATGTACCCCCTATACATGAACATTACACATAAAAATGTATCTAACGGGTAAATATATATCATGTAGGTTGTGATTTTTTTTTTTTAATATTCTTGTTACTTAAAACCTTTTTCTTTGATGTTTTTGTTACCTCATCAATTTCATTCTATTTTGCACTTATCAAGTAGAATGTAAGTTCAGTAAATTCACATAATATCATCAAAATATGTCCATCTAGGGACTAGAGAGATGGCTCAGCAGTTAAGAGTATGTACTGCTTTTCCCAGGGATCTCATGCTAGGTGACGCAAACTGCTTGTAACTCCAGCTTCAAGGGCTCCAACACCATCTTTTGGCTTCCACAGGTGCGCACGTGCACACACAAACCTCAAAAAATGTTTTCAATATGTCTAGCTAGTCTACATTGAAACATTTATCATAGTAACTGTGGTGTTTGCCATATCTCCTCAAAAATAAAATCTTTCACAGTAGTAGGAAATTGGCAGCATAAGTTACAGCATAAATAAAGATTTGGTTTTGAAATGATTTGATGAAATAATATACAAATATTTAGAGTCCTGTTATGTTAGGTAATGGAAAAATATGTGTTATTAACATAGGAAGAGATAGAGACTAACATATTTAGGAAAGCAACTTTTTTTCTTTTTTTGTCTTTTTGAGACAGGGTCTCCCTGTAGCCCCAGCTGTCCTGGAACTCACTATGTAGACCAGGCTGGCCTCCAACTCACAGATACCCACCTGCCTCTGCCTCCCGAGTGCTGGGATTAAAGATGTGCACCACCATGCCCGGCCAGGAAAGCAACTTGTTCAAGCTTCTACATACCTGTAATCCAGCACTTTAGAGACCCAGACTGGATTGGAATTTTTTTTAATTGTTTTTATTTATTATTTTCATTTTATGTGTATGAGTGTATTGCCTGCATGTATGTGAGTGCACCTGTGTCATGCAATGCCCAGGAGGTCAGAAGAGGGTGTCGGATTCCCCTCAAACTGGAGTTAAGTATGGTTCATAGCCACCATGTGGGTGCTGGGAATCAAACCCAGGTCCTCTGCAAGAGCAGTCAGTGCTCTTAACCGCTGAGCCATCTCTCCAGCTCCTGGATTGAAATTTGAAAGAAAGCCAACTAGGGCTACATAGCAAATCACAGATAGTCTGGGCCACACAATAAGGTCTTATCTCAATTTTTTTAGAAAAAGATCTGAAAATGTAGCTCAATGATAGTTGAGGGCGTCTCTAGCATGTACAAGGCCCAGGGTTTTATCCCCAGCACTATAGGGAATAAATAAAACAGTTTAAGAATGTATATCCTGGCCAGACGTGGCAGATGGATCTCAAGGCCAGCCTGGTCTAGAAGACAGAATGTCTGCTACCAAATGTTTACATGTATATTTCTAATTGCCAAAGTCACTGACATTTTCTTCTGAATTTTGTAAATCTTCAATAACAGATTATATACTTCTACATACTGTATTGTATATATATTACATATATAATAATAAAATAAGGCTAAGTATGTTAGCTCACATCTGTAATTCCAGCACTTCAGAGGCTGGGGCAAAAGGATTAGGGTGGAGTTTTGAGGATAGCATAGGGTACAAAGTGATAACCTATATCAAAAACACCAAAAAAAAAAAAGTGGAGTGGGAGGAAAGCTAAAAAGATAGCTCAGTTGGTAAAGTGACTGTTCAGAAAGCATAAAGATCTGAGTTTAGATTCCCCAGCAGCCACATAAAAGTTGGGCTCTCTGTAGCATATGTCTGTAACTGCAGCATTGGCCAGGAAGAGATAGGTAGATTTCTTGAGTTCATTGGCCATCCAGCCTAGCTCCAGGTTCAGTGAGAAACTGTCTCAGAAAATAAGGTGACAGGTGATCAAGGAAGGCACCAGAATCAACCTCCGGCTTCCACATGCACACTCACACAGCACACATATACCAAAAGCAAAACCATGGGGCTGGAGAGATGGCTTAGTGGTTAAGAGCACTGGCTGACCTTGCAGAGGACCTGGGTTCGATTCCCAGCACCCACATGGTGCCTACAAACATCTGTAACCTCCAGTTCTAGGGGATCCAGCACCCTCCTCTGACCTCCGTGGGCATTGTACAACATGGGTGCACTTACATACACTCGCACATAAAATAAAAATAAAAATTTTTTAGAATAGAAGATCACTTCAACTATATGTGTGTAATATTTAACATATTCCTATGACTATAAGCTAAAGGTCAGAAGTTAATTTAAAGATCAATGTATTCCATAATTTAATACATAAATCCCAGTTAAAAGTCTTGGTTTAATTGTGCTTGAAGATAAATATGTATTTGTTTGTTTGTTTTTTCTTTATTAGCGGGAGTAGGTATTCCTGTTAAATAAAAAGAGGAAAGTATTTTGGTACAGTAAAGTAATTTTAAAAAACAATCCATCTTACTGGTTCTCTGAAATTCAAATGATAAGAATGAATTTGGTTAGGTTGTTATTTTTTAATGCTTCCATTGTTTTTTTGTTGTTGTTTTTTTTCCCCCCTTCTTACAGAAGGCATCCTTACTGATGAATATTAAACTGCTACTTAGAATCTAGCTACTTAACTAACTTGATTCATTTTTTAAAATTCCATGTAGGCTAAAGTGATGGCCAATGAGGAGAAAAAATTCCAGCAACATATTCAGGCCCAACAGAAGAAAGAATTGAATAGCTTTTTAGAGTCTCAGAAAAGAGAATATAAACTTCGAAAAGAACAGCTTAAGGAGGTACTTCTTTTACAAAAATCTCATGTGTTTTCTGATTATTCATTATGGTTAAGTAGTTCTCAACTCAAAATTAGCATAAATTTTTCTTTTGTTATTTGTGGTCATGATATGATACTGATTATAAGTAGTTATTCATCTGTAACTTAGAGTTTGCTAGTTGAGTAGGATCTAAATTGAATCATTTTCTTATAGTTTCAGTACAAGAAAAGGGGACTAAGGCAGGAGGATTGTGCATTGGGGGCCAATCTAGACTACAAAATACTACCTTGTTCTCAAAAATCAAACAAAAAAACAACTGGAAATTTATGTGCTTTTCATTTCTGCATGATCTCATGTCTTATAAACTGAAGTTGTAAAGAATTAATGCTTTTGCTGGGCATGGTGGTGCACGCTTTTAATCCCAGCACTTGGGAGGCAGAGGCAGGCAGATCTTTGTGAGTTCAAGGCCAGCCTGGTCTATGTAGTGAGTTCCAGGGCAGCTGGGGCTACAGGGAGACCCTGTCTCAAAAAGACAAAAAAAAAAATGCTTTCTTGAGTGATAGGAAAAAGAAAGATAAGGTTTTGTGGTTTCTGAAGAATCATCTTATGCCTAGGAAAGGTGGCTGATACATATTCTGGACAATGCTGATAGGTTAAAAATATCCAAGTATTACTGGGCAAGGTGCCTCATGCCTTTAATTCCAATATTTGGGAGTCAGAGGCAGATCTCCATTAGTTTGAGGTTAGTCTGGTCTAATAGTGAGTTCCAGGCCAGCAAGAGCTATATTGTGAGACCCTATCAAAAACACACACATATCCCAATAAAGCAGTTAAAATAACAAAACCAATGTTAATGAGCATCTTAGGGTTTATCTCATTGTGTACATTATCAGTTTCCTTTTTCTTTTTCTTTAAATATTTAATTGGGGGCTGGAGAGATGGCTCGGCAGTTAAGAATACCAGCTGGTCTTGCAGAAGACCCCAATTCGAATCCCAGCACCCATACGGCAGCTAACAACTGTCCGTAGCTCCAGTTCCAGGAGATCCGACAGCCTCTTCGGTTCTCCACGGGCATTGCATGACATGGGTGCACTTACCTACATGCAGGCAATACATACATACACATACGCATACGCATACACATACACATACACATACACATACACACACAATAAAATAAAATAATAAAATAAACCCAGGCCTTCTCCAAGAAGTCGGTGTTCTTAACCACTGAGCCATCTCTTCACCCCCATCAGTTTTATTTTCCTATCTTGTTCAATATAAATACATTTCCATTGAAGTAATTTCGAGAATCTTGAAAAACAAATCTTATGGTGATGCTGAACTGTATTTTAGCCTTAATTTTAATTAACAATATAATTTTTACTTGAAAGCACTTCCTTCTGGCTCTTCTTGGACAGGTTTTTGGGTTTTTTTTCCCTATCTTTTTGAAACAGGGTCTTCCTGTAGACCAGGCTGGCCTTGAATGCACAGAGATTTGCCTGCCTCTCCCTCCTGTGCTAGGATTAAAGGCCTGCGCCACCATGCCCAATTTTTGGACAGGTTTGTAAAGGAGTGTTTTACTTTATTAACTAATCATTCTGTGCTTTAAAGCTACCACGAAAATACAGCTGTGCAAGGCTAAAGCTATTCATATTTTTTCATGTACATAGGAAAATATTACCTGCCTTTTCCAGGTATCCTGAGCTCTTATTAAAGAGAAAACACAAATAAGTACTTTAAAATTTACTGTAGGGGCTGGAGATGTGGCTCAGCGGTTAAGAACAGTGGTTGTTCTTGCAGAAGACCAGAGTTCAAATCCCAGCACCCACATGGCAGCTAACAACTGTCCGTAACTCCAGTCCCAGAGGATCCGACAGCCTCTTCTGACCTCTGACACAGGTGCACTTACCTACATGCAGGCAATACATGCATACACATAAAATAAAAATTAAATAAATTTAAATAAATAAATAAAATTTACCATATAATAAACCTTGGAATGTAGCTTCCAGCATGCACAAGGCCCTAGGTTCAGTCCCCTTTATAATAAAATGTAAATAAATTTACTATAACCAGTCAAGGGGGTGCGCGCCTATACAATTTCAATATCAAAAAATCGTCCTAAAGCAGGAGGATTATAAATTCAAGACCAGCCTTTGCTACATAGTAACAGCAACAACAGAAAACTTAAAACAGTGCTAGATAAATTTATTATATATTACATGAACATTAATATTTACATAGATTAAACTGCATTTTTGGGTTGTTGTTTTTTTCCCAGGAGCTGAATGAAAATCAGAGCACACCCAAGAAAGAAAAACAGGAGTGGCTTTCAAAGCAGAAGGAGAATATACAACATTTCCAGGCAGAGGAAGAAGCTAACCTTCTTCGACGTCAGAGGCAATACTTAGAGCTGGAATGCCGTCGCTTCAAGAGAAGAATGCTACTTGGGCGACATAACTTGGAACAGGACCTTGTCAGGGAGGTGTGTACCCAACTCCAGGGTGATCTGATATCTTGGTCTCTCAGGACACCTGTATTCACAGACACCTGTATTCACAGACACACACATACATAACTAAAAAATTATAAAATAATTTTTGAAATTTAAACTTGAAGTTGTGTTGATTAGATAAGCAAAACTTAGAAGATTGATAACATCCAGTATTTAAAGTTGAGGTTGATTTTTAATGGCCATTGTAAGTACTATCCCTTTAAAAAATGATTGAGCTATAACTTTCTTCTTTTTTTTTTTTCTTTTTTCTTTTGGTCTTTTTGAGACAGGGTCTCCCTGTAGCTCCAGCTGTCCTGGAACTCACTACATAGACCAGGCTGGCCTTGAACTAACAGAGATCAGCCTGCCTCTGCCTCCCAAGTGCTGGGACTACAGGCGTGTGCCACCACGCCTGGCTGCTTTTTCTTTTTGAGACAGGGTCTCACTATTGTAGCCTTGCCTAGCCTGGAATTCTCTATGTAGACCTGACTGGCCTCAAACTCAAAGAGATCTTTCTGCCTCTCCCTCCTAAGTGCTGGGATTAAAGGTGTGTGTCACTACACCCAACTGTGATCCATAGTTTCTAAAATACTGACATAGGGCCTGGGGAGATGTCTCAGCGGATAAGAGAGCTTGCTGCTATTCCAGAGGACCCGAGTTTGGTTTCCAACACTGACATCAGATGGCTCACAAGTGCCTGTAACACAAGCTCCAGGAAATCTGATGCCCTCTTCTGGCCTGTGCAGGTACCCACACAATGCACACATATGTATACATAATTTAAATTAAAAAAAAAAAATCTTAAAATAGTCACATAAGCATTTAACTATCTATATACACATTTATTTTAGTTCTAGCCTGTAGAAATAACATGATTATATGATACAATGCATGCAGGCATTTATTTGTTAATACCATATATAAAAGAATAGAAGCAGCTTAAAATGACTAGTCATGTAGAAATCGTTGAAAAATAGTGTCATAAAACAATAGCTTTCAATAAAACTTAGAGAATAAAATTGTCAAAAAGAAAGAAAAAGAGAATAAAAATGTCTTGGCTGGGTGTGGTGGCACACGCCTTTAATCCCAGCACTTGGGCAGCAGAGGCAGGTGGATCTTTGTGAGTTCAAAGCCAGCCTGGTCTACATAGTAAGTTCCAGGCTAGCTAGGATTGTAGGGAGAACCTGTCTCAAAAGATAAAAATAAAATATTGTGCACATACTTGTAATCCCATCACTTGGTAGGGAGAGGCAAGAGGAGTTTTCATTTAGACCACTTAGGCTACATGAGATTTTTGTCTCAAAAAAAAATGTCTTTATGGGGGCTGGAGAGATGGCTCATCAGTTAAGAACACTGACTGGTTCTTGCAGATGACCCAGGTTCAAATCCCAGCACCCATGTGGCAGCTAACAGCTGTCTGTAACTCCAGTTCCAAAGGATCCGACAGCCTCTTCTGTTGGATCGCATTGCATGACATGGGCGCGCTTACCTACATGCAGGCAATACATGCATATGCATAAAATAAAAGATAATATAATTTTAAAAAATGTCTTTATGTACTGATCTGATATTCTGTATATGTGTTATATTGTGAAGTGAAGAAAATAAGTTCCATGCCTGTATTATTCACTTGTTAGAACTGTTTTGTTGTTTTTTTAACGATGGCTATTTCAAAATAAGGAAAAGGATGAGAAGCCTCCAAATCAAACTCTTGACCCCTGGGGAGATAGTTTGCAGGCAAACAGTAACATTGATTTCTGCATTATTGATATGACTATGTCTACTACTATTTTTAATTTGGAAAAAAATATTTTAAAAGAAAAACATTTTATCTTTAATGTTTTATTTTACTTTTTTTTTTTTTGTCTCTTTTGAGACAGGGTCTCCTTGTAGCCCCAGCTGTCCTGGAACTCACTTTGTAGACCAGGCTGGCTTTGAACTCACAAAGATCCGCCTGCCTCTGCTGCCCAAGTGCTAGGATTAAAGGTGTGCACCACCACTCCCGGCCTATTTTATGTATGGGTGTAATGCCTGCATGTAGGTTGGCGCGCCTATGTTGGGCAGTGCCCACAGAGGTCAGAAGAGGGCATCGGATCCCCTGGAACTGGAGTTATGGGTGGTTGTTATCCACCATGTGTGTGCTGGGAATTGAACCCAGGTCCTTTGCAAGAGCAGTCAGTGCTCTTAACAGTTGAAGCAGAGCCCCCATTATTTTGAGACAGGATATCACTATGTAGTCCTGACTGGTCAGGAACTCGGAGATCCACCTGCCTCTGCCTCCTGGGTGCTGGAATTAAAAGCATGTACCACCATGCCCAGCAAGAATAACATTTATTAAACAGTACCAAGTTCTAGGGTTTTTTTTTAATTTTTTTTGGTCTTTTTGAGACAGGGTTTCCCTGTGGTCCCAGCTGGCCTGGAACTCAACTGTGTAGACCATTTTGGCCTACATAGAGATCTGCCTGCCTCTGTTTCCTAAGTGCTGGGATTAAATGTGTACACCACCATGCCTGGTTGAGATTTTTTTTTTTTAAGAACTTCTCAAATCTGCAAAGTAAGACGGATGATTTAGGTAAATGGGAGAATTCTTTAATGTACCAGCCTGAGAATGTACACACACACACACACACACACACACACACACACCCCTAGTATTTACCATGTAGCCATTATTGAAGCATAGGGTTAATTATATTCATTTTCTGGTTATTCTTCTGATTCCTCCCCCCCCTTGATTTGTACGTTAATAAATTACCTTTGTCCTTTACCTTTGCATATTAGGAGTTAAACAAAAGGCAGACTCAAAAGGACTTAGAGCATGCCATGTTACTACGACAGCATGAATCCATGCAAGAACTGGAGTTCCGCCACCTAAACACAATTCAGAAGATGCGCTGTGAGTTGATCAGATTGCAACATCAAACTGAACTCACTAACCAACTGGAATACAATAAGCGAAGGGAACGGGAACTAAGACGAAAGCATGTCATGGAAGTTCGACAGCAGCCTAAGAGTTTGAAGGTATTTCCAGTGTACGCTTCTTGACAAAGGGGGAAAGAGATTTTTTTTTTTTTAATTGTATAAGCAGAATAAGACGTGTCTAATTTTTGGATGCCAGTTGGCATTTTCATTTTTAGCATGTTTGACTCTTGGGTGGACTGCCTGTTGCTGGAGCCTTTTGTGTATGTATTTTATATCAAAGTTTACAAAAACCACCAAGCCGGGCGTGGTGGCTCACACCTTTAATCCCAGCACTCAGGAGGCAGAGGCAGGCGGATCTTTGTGAGGCCAGCCTGGTCTACATAGTGAGTTCCAGGACAGCTGGAGCTACAGGGAAACCCTGTCTCAAAACAAACAAACAAAAAAAAAAAACACCAAAACTTTTAATTATGGGAATTCCAAAGAGTCAGTGACTCTTAAAATGTATCCAGCTCTGGTGCTGACATTGTAGTCTACAAATCAACTTGCTCTTTAAGTAGTTTAACCTGGAAATCTTAATTTGTTATAAATGTGATATATACACAGTTTTTTATTTATTTATTGGTCTTTTTTTCTTTTGGGCCTTTTTTTTGATATTTTGTAATTTTATAATCAATATTTAAAGCAGGTGAATCAAATGAGTCTTTAAAATACATAGACACCAAGCACACACTATACGTGTTTTCATCAGTGATAACATCTTACTTTATCTGTTATTGTCTCCCAAAAGTTTTTTATGTCCAGTAAGGCCCAGGTCCCAAAGTATTTCCTGTTGAAAGACTCCTAGCAAGTATGACACCTTGTGTTCCAGCACTCACAAGACTGAAACATTTACAGAGTAGTTATGCTGATTGCCAAAGCTTAGACAGATTGAAATTCATTATGACTTCTCAGACTTCTTTTGTTTGTACAGTGGAGAGCTATTTAATCATCTGACTATAATGTAGGTAATCTCCCACCCATTGGTATATGTTTTGCTTTGTTTATTAACACCCCAAGCAAGACCAGGATCTCATGTAGCCTGGCCTCAGCATGGAGCCAAAGATGACCTTGTACTATGGATCCTCCTGCCTCTACTTTCTGAGTGCTGAGATTACAGGTGTGTACTACCACCCCTGGTTTATGCGGTTATGAGGTTCAAACCCATGGTTTTGTGCTTGCTAGGCAAAACTGAGGTACTTCCCTAACCCCCACCAAAGATATTTTTTTTTAAATACCACGTTTGTGAAAATAAGTATGGTTTCAAAGCCAGCAGTACTCAGAGATGAACCAAATTGAAACTTAATAGTTTTCTCTAGTCATACCAGAATTCTGATGTGACCACTTTGCCTTGGGGCTTGGTTTGACTTGAACTTTTTCTTTCTATAACCCTTTTAGTTTTAGTGGTTATAAAAAGTAATCTAATTTTCTCAGACATTATATAAAAGTGAGGAGAAAATGTTTTACAGTCTTACTCAGACTCTTAAGTAGAATGCTTCCTCATGATAAATACACTCAAGGTTTTCCTCTAGTAAGAAAGTAAAATTGGGGCTGGAGAGTGGCTCAGCAGTTACGAACACTGACTGTTCTTGCAGAAGACCCGGGTTCAAATCCTATCACCCACATGGCAGCTAAAAACTAACTCGAGTTCCAGGGGATCCGACAGCCTCTTCTGTCCTCCATGGGCATTGCAGGACACGGGTGCACTTACCTACATGCAGACATAACACTCATACACATAGAATAAAAAGAATAAAGTAGAAAGTAAAATAATCCTTTCCTCTTAGTTATATTCTATTCCTTTGGTCATTTTCTACAAGACATTTGGTTTACCACGTCATCTCAATAATATTTATTTGTGTACCATTTCTAATTTTCTATGAGACAAATTGCAGAAGAGACTTCGGTTTGCACACTTAGATATGTTAACTAGGATTTGGGGGGCAAAAGTACTGTGTCTATGGATGAACTGGATAAAAACTGCCTGTTCTGACCAGACATTGTGGTGTAGTGTAGACCTTTAATCTCAGCACAGAGGCAGGCACATCTCTATGATCTCATTCACTGTTGCAGTCTTGCAAGTCAGTCTGCAAGTTTGGTGCATAGATTCCACAAAAAGTAAGGTCTGTTGGGACTAGAGATGGCTCAGTCATTAAGAGCACTGGCTGCTCTTGCAGAGGACCCAGGTTCTATTCCCAGCACCCATATATCAGCTAGCAACCTTTGTAACTTTATTTCCAAGGAATTTACACCTACTCTGGCCTCCACGACATGGGTATACATACATACATTCAGGCAAAGCACTCAGAACAAAGTAAATGTGCTTTATAAAGTCTGCTTTCAGAGCCCTGGTAAAATCGTGCCTTGCTGAGAAAGTGCTTTTATACTACCATACTTAATTTACAAGATGAAATTTAGTTTCCTTTTTTTAAAAATTTTATTTTTTGTACAAGGGTATTGCCTACATGTATGTGAGTGCACCCAAGTCATGCAATGCCACAGAGGTCAGAAGAGGGCATCGAATTCCCCTGGAACTGGAGTTAAGGATGGTTTATAGCCACCATGTCGGTCCTGGGAATTGAAACCAGACCCTCTGCAAGAGCAGTCAGTGGTCATAACTGCTGAGTCATCTCTCCAGCCCTGAAATTTAGTTTTCTATCATCAGTACATGTCAAGTTTACTAGTGAAATAATCAGTAATATGTGCCATCCTGATAGAATTTCTTACTGTTAAAATACATAGATCCAGGCCAGGTGTGGTGGCACATGCCTTTAGTCCCAGCACTTGCGAGGCAGAGGCAGGCGGATCTTTGTGAGTTCAAGGCCAGCCTGGTCTCCATAGTGAGTTCAGGTCAGCTGGGACTACAGGGAGACCCTGTCTCAAAAAGACAAAATAAAAATAAAAACATAGATCCAACAGTTTAGCCCACTAGCCAAATAAAAACATCTTCAGTTTTACAATACAACCTTTTGTTTTCCTCTCCTTTTTTTACTGGATTTATTTGTATATATGTAAATATATAGTATACCAAATACTGTGTTAAAACACAAATGTGTGTGTGTGTTTATTTTCTTCTTCTTCACAGTCTAAAGAACTCCAAATAAAAAAGCAGTTTCAGGATACCTGCAAAATCCAAACCAGACAATACAAGGCATTAAGAAATCACCTACTGGAGACTACACCAAAGAGTGAGCACAAAGCTGTTTTGAAAAGGCTCAAGGAGGAACAGACTCGGAAGTTAGCCATTTTGGCTGAGCAATATGATCATAGCATTAATGAAATGCTCTCCACACAGGCTGTGAGTTTGCTTTATTTAGGCAACACAAATTTTCTTCTTTCTTCTTGGTACCATGTGAATGAAACCCTAACAATTAAAATACTAGGTGGGAATGATAACTTTCCAATACCTAGGGGATTAACTGTTATCTGTATTCTTCTGTTTTCGACATTGCTTGGAAATACCATGATGTATATAGAATTTCACTAATACATTGAGACCTAAGATTCTATAAAGGCTTCCTGTGGCTTATCAAGCTCAGATGAGTAAGCAGTAGGCTAAAAGTACTGTATTGGACTCGGTAAGTGGTCAGCTTTGAGTCCACAGATGAACTGTTGTGGGAGCTTTTCTTAAAGTGCCAAGTAATCATTTAAATTGTAACCATTTCAAAATGTAAAAACTATTCTTACCTTTTGGACTGAATAAAATAATACAGGCAACTGCCCAGATTTGTCTTGTAGGCCATAGTTTGTTGCTCTTTGTTCTATAGTTATTTCTACTAGGGAGGAAGAAGTTGGGAATTTATTATCTAACTATGTCCTAGATTTTTCTTAAGAAAAGTATAAACCAGATGTGGTGGGGCACGCCTTTAATCCCAGCACTCTGGAGGCTAAGGCAAATGGATCTCTGTGAGTTCAAGGCCAGGTCTTGAACTGGTCTAGATAGTGAGCTCCAGGCCAGCTAAGGTTACAGGGAGACCCTATCTTTAAAAAAAAAAAAAAAAAAAGAGTGAGAAAAGTATAATTATTCAAGCATCTTTAAAGTAGCCTATGAAAGCTTTTTTTTCTTTTTGTCTTTTTGAGACAGGGTCTCCCTGTAGCCCCAGCTGGCCTGGAATTCACTATGTAGACCAGGCTGGCCTTGCACTCACAGAGATCGCCTGTCTCTGCCTCCTGAGTGTTGGAATAAAAGGCTTGTGCCACCACACCCAGCTATGAAAGCATTTTTAATGCAATATTGGTTATTTCTCAGAGTTATTTACTCCAGGATACAAGAAAGAACAATTATATAGCTTATAAGAAAATATTCTGTCTTCTGTCATTCTTCTTCCTTTCCATAAGTCATAAATGGATAGTTCACAGTAGAATATATCTGTTTTCCTTTTCTTTCAGCTGCGTTTGGATGAAGCACAGGAAGCAGAATGCCAGGTTTTGAAGATGCAACTGCAGCAGGAACTGGAGCTGTTGAATGCATATCAGAGCAAAATCAAGATGCAAGCTGAGGCACAACATGATCGAGAGCTTCGGGAACTAGAACAGAGGGTCTCCCTTCGCAGGGCACTCTTAGAACAAAAGGTATAGATAATAGATAATTGTTCTCATATTTGCTCTTGTCAAAAGAATTAGATATGTGCGTGCACACATATACACACTTGGTTTTTTAGAGGAGGATTATTTTCTACTGGGTTTGTTTTTAATGTGTGTGTGATGTTTCTGTGAGTGTTATACATGTGTGTTTGCATGTTCATGTGTGAGTGCAGGCCCTTGTGCCATGGCAGTGAGGAAGTCAGAGAACAACCTTAGGTATGAGTCATCACCTTCCACTCTGTTTGAGGTAGAGTCTCCTGATCACCACTACATAGGCCAGGGTAGCCAACCCACAACCTTCTAAGGAATTTGCCTGTCTGTCTCCCATTTCATCGTATGCACCCTGGGATTCCAGGTGTAGCTTTATTTATTTTTAAGATAAGGTCTTACTATGTAGCCTTTATTGACCTGGAACTCCCTGTTATAGACCAGGCTGGCCACAAACTCACAGAGATCTGCTTCCCAAATGCTGGGATTCAAGCAAGCATGTGCCACCATTCTCAGCCACATTTGCCTTTTACATGGGTTCTGGGTATCCAAACTCCATATGCTTCTGTAGCAAGTGCCTTTACTGACTGAGTCATATACCCAACGCTTGTTTTAATTTTTTTGTACTGGGTATTGAACCTGGAGCCTCACCCTTGCTTAGTAAAAACTCTACTATTGAGTAACCCCAGCCTTGTAAATATGTTTATAGTGACAGGCTACATAAAATTTCTTGCATTTGCTGTATTACCTTTAGTTCTACTTTGGTAGTGGTTTTTTTTCCTTTAAAATTATTCAGTAATAGGGGCTGGAGAGATGGCTCAGTGGTTAATAACACTGGTTGTTTTTGCAGAAGACCCGGATTGAATCCCAGCACTCACGGCAGCTAACAACTGTCTGTAACTCCAGTTCCAGAGGATCTGACAGCCTCTTCTGACCTCCGCAGGCATTGCACAACACAGGTGCACTTACCTACATGCAGGCAATACATACATACACATAAAATAAAAAAATAATAAAATTATTCAGTGATGAAGTTTTTTTAACTTTAACAAGTTCTAAAACTCCAAGGAATATAATTCGTAAAGAATTTAAGGCAGGTATGGTTACACACACCTGTAATCCCAGAACTTGGGATGTAGAGGTAGAAGGATCAAGGGTTTCAAGATCATCCTTGGCTACATAGCAAGTTTGAAGCCAAACTGGACTACATGAGACATTGTCTCAATTAAAAAGAAACAAAAATTTTTAATGAAGTTTTTGAAGACAGTTGAATTATGAGAGTAGCAACTCTGGCTCTGTTTTCCTCACTTCATTGTGTACCTAGCTCTACTTAAGGGGGTTGCAAAAAAAACTGTAGTGAAGAAAAATAATTGCAGTTAATTGCCTGAGAGAGGCAGAGGATCAGAGGATCAGAGGGTCAGAGGATCAGAAATACATACTTTGCTCACACATCCTCCACCTGGAGCTATGCAGATGGTGGGAAAGGAGCAGAAGGTTCCACACAGGTGAAAAGACCGTGAAATATTACACTTCCATATAAATGTTTACTGTTTGGCTATTTTGTTGTTTTGGTTCTGTTTTAGAGACAGGGTCTCACTCTGTAGCCCTGGCTGGCCTAGAATGCGCTGTATAGACCAGACTGGCCTTTTTTTTAAAAAATTATTATTTTTAGTTTATGTGTATGAGTGTTATGCCTGCATGTAAGTAAGTGCACCATGTTGTGCAATGCCCATGGAGGACAGAAGAGGCTGTAAGATCCTCTGGAACTGGAGTTATAGACAGTTGTTAGCTGCCATGTGGGTGCTGGGATTCGAACCCAGGTCTTCTGCAACAACAGTCCGTGTTCTTAACTGCTGGGCCATCTCCCCAGCCCCCAGGCTGGCCTTTTTTAAAAACTATTTTATTTATTATTTTTATTTTGAGTATGAGTGTATTGCCTGCACATGTGTAAGTGCACCCATGGAATTCAATGCCTGCAGCCAGAAGACAGCATCAGGTCCCCTGGAACTGGAGCTACAAATGGTTGTTAGCCACCATGTGGGTGCTGGGAATCGAACCTGGGTCCTCTGCAAGAGCACTGAGTGCTCTTAACTGCTAAGCCATCCCTCCAGCCCCCCTTCCCCCCCTTCTTTTTTTGGTCTTTTTGAGACAGGGTCTCCTTGTAGCCCCAGCTGTCCTGGAACTCACTATGTAGACCAGGCTGGCCTTGAACTCACAGAGATCCGCCTGCCTCTGCCTCCCACGTGCTGGGACTAAAGGAATGTGCCACCACGCCCGGCAGCCCCCTTTTTTAAAAAAGATATTTTATTATTGTTTTTATGTGTGTGAGTGTTTTACCTGCATGTATGTAAGTGTATCCATGTCATGCAAGCCCATGGAGGCCAGAAGAGGGCATTAGATCTCCTGGAACTGGAGTTATGGACAGTTGTTAGCTACCATGTGGGTACTGGGAATCGAACCCAGGTCCCTTGCAAGAGCAGTCAGTGCTCTTGACCCCTGAGCCATCTCTCCAGCCCCCTTTAAAAAAACATTTTATTTATTATTTTTATTTTATGGGTGTGAGTGTGTTGCCGGCATTTTATATAAGTGCATACATGTCATGCAAGCCCTCGGAGACCAGAAGAGGGCATCAGATCCCCTGGAACTGGAGTTATGATGGTTGTTAGCCACTGTGTGGGTGCTGGGAATCAATCAAACCTGGGTCCTCTGCAAGAGCCATCAGTGCTTTGTAACTACTGAGCCATCTGTCCAGCCCAGTTTTTTTTGTTTTTTTTTTTTTTTGTGCAGTGTTGAGGTTCACTCTGCCTGTGGTGATACTTGCAGGCAGATCAACTTGAGTCTCCCCAGGCTTGCTTTTAAGCTCTGCTAGGAGAGACTGAGGGTGCCATACTACAGAAACATGGTTTGGTTCATGTGGGTTCTCTGCTAATGTAGGACAGGGGAAATGAACAAATCTTCTGTAGTCCCATATGCTCTCTGTTTTGAGACAGGGTCTCCCTGTATCCCAGCTAGCCTGAAACTCGCTTTGTAGAACAAACTGGCCTTGATCTCACAGAAATCCACCTGCCTCTGCCTCCCTAAAGATGTGTGCCACCATGCCCGGCCCAGGCTGGTCTTTAACTTACAGAGATCCACCTGATTCTGTCACCCAAGTGCTAGGATTAAAAGCACATACCAGGCCCTTTTTTTTTCTTTTACTTTGTATGTCTATGAGTATTTTACTTGTATGTATGTATATGCATGCAGTGCCCACAGAGGCCAGAAGAGAGTGCTGAATCCTCTGGAATTGGAGTTTAGGACAGTTATTAGCCACCATGTTGGTAGTAGATACCAAGCCTGGGTCCTCTGCAAGAGCCAGCTAATTCTCTTTAACTGCTGAATCATCTCTCCAACCCATCCCCCACTTTTTTTGAGACAAGGTCTTGGATAGTTCAAGTTGGTTTTGAACTCACTGTATAGCCAAGTCTGTCCTTGAACTCATTCTCCTGCTTCTGCCTTCTGAGTGCAGGAATTATAGGCATATGCCACCATACCACCCCATCTTTACTTTTTATGACTTATTGTTTGCCAGATATATTAGAGAATAGAACCAGAATCTTAAAATTTCTCATTGAAACAAAGTACTGTAGATGCATGTGAGAATGAAAGAGAGATGTAAAAAAGGGGAAGGCATTCCTTGCATGAAATGGTAGACTGTCAGTTACATCCAAAATTCAGAGCTATGTTTGTTTCAGTGTATAGATTTCCTTTTTTTAATATTTTATTTTATTATCTTTTAATTTTATGTGTATGCATGTATTGCCTGCATGTAGGTAAGTGCACCCGTGTTGTGCAGTGCCCGTGGAGGACAGAAGAAGCCATCGGATCCATGGAGCTGAAGTTACAGATAGTTGTTACCTGCCATGTGGGTGCTGGGTTTCGAACCCATGTCTTCTGTAAGAACAACCAATGTTCTTAACTGTTGAGCCATCTCTCCAGCCCCCAGATTTCTTAAATCTCTCTGATTCCAACTTTCACAACCAGACCTGCCCTCCTACCTTTGTGGAAATTTAAGTATACACATAAAGAAGTTACATTTTATCTCAAATAAGACAGTTTGGAAGAATATCTCAAAAGTTTATGGTAATTTTTATCTGCTAATTGAAATTCTCTTTCTAGTTTGCGTAATAAATAATGTTTTATCCCAGCGCGAAGCCTCTAATCCAACACTTAGGAGGCTGAAGTAAATGGATCAGGAGTTCTAGTTCATCCTCAGCTACATAGTGAGTCCAAGGCCAGCCTGGGCTATACAAGACCCTGTATTAATACTCTCCCTCCCCCAAAAAATAAAAATAAAAACTCATTTTAAAAGAAGTAAAGCCAGGATTGGAGAGATAGCTCAGTGGTTAAGAGCCCTCGCTGTTACTGCAAAAGACCAGGGTTCAGGTCCTCACAACCATCTGTAACTCCAGTTCCAGAGGATCTGACTCCTTCTGGCCTCTGTGGGCACCGGGCACACACATGGTTGCACGTACATACATGAGGACAAAATATCATACACATAAAATAAAAGTAAATAAAAGAAGAAGGGACCAGAGAGATGGCTTCGTAGTTAAGAGCACTTACAGCAGATGACCCATAACCCACATGGCAATTCACAACTGTCTATAACTTCAGATCCAGGGGATCCAATACCATCTTCTGGCCTACACAGGCACTGTACATATATGTTGCACTTAACCTAAATGCAGGGAAAACACTTAAACACATAAAATAAATGATTTTTAAAACAAAAAAGAAATAAAGCCAGGCAGGTGTGATGACATAGTTGAGAGGTAGAGGCAGGAGGATCAGAAGTTTCAGGTCAGTAGGGATACTACAGAATGAGACCCCCATCTCTAAAAAAAAGCACAAAACCAAAGAGATCCCACCCATCTCAACCAAAAAAAATACAAAGAGAGATTTAAATAAATTAACGTAGTTTACTTTCTCTTCCCTACCACCTTCTCTCTGTGGCTCTG